TCCGTTTGAGGGTGGTAAGCGGAGCTGAACCTCAATTTTGTACCTGCCAACTGAAATAGTGCAGACCAGAATTTACTCACAAAAACACGGTCTCTGTCAGAAACAATAGACTTTGGGATGCCATGTAGACGAACCACTTCCTTCATGAAGACAGCCGCCACTGTTTGTGCATCATAAGGGTGTTTTAAAGTCACGAAATGGGCATATTTCGTTAGTCGATCAACCACCACCAAGATTGTATCAACCCCCAATGATTTCGGTAATCCCCCAATGAAGTCCATTGAGATATCCTCCCATACTTGTTGGGGAATTGGGAGTGGTTGTAATAGGCCCGCAGGTTTCAAGTGACTGTATTTCTGCCGTTGGCAGACTTCACATGCTTGAACAAACTCAGCCACCACCTTACGCATACCCTTCCAAAAAAATATAGCCGCCAACCGCTTATAAGTTCGTAATTCACCCGAATGTCCCCCCCATGGTGATGAGTGAAATTCCTGTAAAATAACTGGAATGTGAGGAGAAGATTTGGGAAGGACCAGACGGTTTTTAAACCAAAGACAACCATTAGTGACATGATAACCCGGATGAGAGTGAGCATCCAGCATAACAGCTGTGAGGAGGGACTTAGTAGCGGGATCCCTCAATATATCATCAGAAAGCTTCTGTAAATCTGGGCTTGTGAGCAGTGTGAGTTCTCTACAATCCATTACCCGTGATAAAGCATCCGCAGCTGTATTCTCCGGTCTGGCTTGTATTGAATCTCAAAGTCATACCCCATAAGTTTTGCAACCCATTTTTGTTGGCCTTCCACCATTAGACGTTGCTCTGTCAAATACTTCAGACTCCTTTGATCTGTTTTAATCAAAAAATGTCGTCCCAGTAAATAGTGACGCCATTTCTGAACGGCAAACACAATTGCTTTTAACTCCCTCTCATAAACCGAGAGCAGCCGATCCCTATCAGAAAATGCTTTACTAAGGAAAGCAATGGGCCGGTTCTCTTGCATCAGAACAGCCCCCATCCCTACTCCTGAAGCATCAGTCTCAACTACAAAAAGTGTGTTGAAGTCGGGTAAGGCAAGAACTGGCAGCTGCATCATTTCCCCCTTCAATGCATCGAAGGAAAGTTGTGCTTCTTCGCCCCACACGAAGCTATCCTTTTTTAACAGTTGGGTAAGTGGCCGAGCCAGATGACCATACTGCTTGACAAAGCGTCTGTAGTAACCCGTGAGCCCCAAAAATCCCCTGAGGCCCTTCAAGTTTTTAGGGACTGGCCACTGACTGACAGCCACCAACTTTTGAGGATCAGCCTTCACCCCATCTTGGGAGATCAAATGACCCAAATATTCCAATTCAGACTGTGCGAATGTACATTTTTTTCTGTTAGCTGAAAAGTGATTAGAACGCAGAATCTCCAGCACAACCTTCAAATGCTCACAATGCTGTTCCTCACTGTGACTATATATCAGAATATCGTCGAAGAATACTAAGACGAATTTCCTTAAAAAGGGCTTGAAGACTTCATTCATCAAGGATTGAAACGTCGAAGGAGCGTTCCTCAACACAAAAGGCATCACGAGATATTCGTAATGTCCTTCATGAGTCCGAAAAGCCGTCTTCTCAATGTCGTCAACCCTCATGCGAATCTGATTATACCCCGATTTCAGGTCCAATTTGGAAAAAATTCCTGCTCCATGTAGCTCATCCAATAACTCATCTATAACAGGCAGTGGGAATTTGTCTGGAATGGTTACCTTGTTCAAAGCTCTATAATCTACGCAAAAACGCCAACTTCCATCTTTTTTCCTGACCAATATTAGGGGACTGGAATAAGGACTGCAGCTCGGCCTTATCATTCCTGCCTCTAACATGTCTTTCACAAACTTTTCAATCTCTTCCTTCTGATAGTACGGATAGCGGTACGGTCGTATATTAGGAATGGCAGCCCCTGCTGTCAGCAATATCTTATGGTCACAATTCCTAAATGGAGGCAACTCGGATGGTGGTAGAAATACATCGTGATACTGCTGCAGTAACTCCGAGATCAGTGGAGAAAGGTCCTGAGAAGGATTTTCCTCCAGAACACAATACCCCAACTCCACATAATATCCCTCTTCTCCCTTCTTCCAAGCTCGTGACATACCCTTATAGGAGAGTTTACTACACGAGAGAAACGGATCCCCCTGCAATAACACCTCATTCCCCTGCCATGGAATACGGAGAATACGTTCCTTAAAATTCGCTTGAATATTCCCCAATTCTTCCAACCATGAATAACCCAGCACCACATCCACATCGTTAAGATGGAAAACATAAAAGTCCTGAGTCAAAGACAAACCTGGCAGCAACAATTCCACATCCTTGCAATACCCTTTTCCTTGTACTTGGGCTCCGTCCCCTACCCCCACACGAAATGTTTTAGAGTGATCGAGAGAAAGGCCCAACCGGTCAACAGTGTCATCTCCAATGAAGTTGTTCGAAGCACCCGTGTCTATGAGTACGACCACATCTTGGTTCTTCACCTTCCCCCATAGTTTTAAGGATCGATTGGAGGTCAACCCAACTACACTCTGGACGTTTAGTTGAAGAATCTCTTCCGATTCTCCTCCTGTTTCGATCCCTCCCCATTCCTCCCCTGTGGGAACATCTTCATTCTCGTGCAACAGTAAAACCCACAGATGAGGGTTCGGACACACATGCCCTGGACCATAGGGTCCATCACAACGAAAACACAAGTTTCGCCGTCGATAATCAGCTGCCTCATCTGGTGACAACCGCCGGAACCGGTTCCCACTACGGCCCTCGGATCCTCCCACCGTCGCATCTCCTGTTTGGGAGGTATTCCTTGCTTCTGGAGTACCCACTACTCGTCGATTAGGGATCGTGGGAGTGTTGCTGGCCACCGACACTGGTGTGACCGATATGTTAGATGGATTCGTTTGGGCCGTTGTGGCTGGCCCATAATTCACTCCCCTTGGGGTATTCGCTCCTCCACGGTTTGATAAGGCAGGCCTACCCCATCCGTTAGTGTGGCTATTGGGCCCGTGGCTTCCTCGGCCCATATCCCCACTCTCCTTGCCTACCACTGCGTTGCGATCCTCAACTCGCTGAGCAAACACCATCATCCCTTCCAAATCCTCTGGTGAGTGCAAACGGATCTCCGCTCGAATTTCCGGTTTCAATCCGGTCAAAAAAGCTGCCTGCATCATCTCCTCATCCGCTTGCCGTAACGGTGCCGACAGAACTTCGAATTGTTTACGAAATTCAGCCACTGTGCCGGATTGCTTCAACTCCATTAACGCTTCATAAGGATTTCCCGACGGGGAAACATGGAAGCGTTGCAACACCGCCAATCGAAACGTTGTCCAGTCCGTCAAAGGATTCCTGGGTTCCCACCATTGGAACCAGCTTAAAGCTTCCTTCTCCAAACAGATGGAGGCCGTTTCAACTTGTTCCTCGGGTGGAATGTGATTCACACGGAAGTAATGTTCCGCTCGGAATATCCATCCGTAAGGGTCATCACCGGAGAAATAAGGAACTTCCACTCGACGCATCCTTTCCTCTCCCCTCTCCCACGGTCCTCGACCATGGTTGCCATCATGTTCCCTTGCATCTGTGTCTCCGTTTCTTCCTCTGAATCCCCTGCTTCCATTGTCCATCCTATTAAAAAACTCAGTAAGTGCCTCCTTCAACTGATGCACCTCAATCCTGACTTCTCCCATGTTTTCCTCTATTCGTTCTGTCCTCCTCTCTACTTCTTCCACTCTAGTCTCCATTCTCGTCCTTACCATACAGCTCCCCACCGACCGTAAGAGCTTTGATACCAAATTGTTGGCACCAAAAGAATACAACAGTAGAACACTTACAATTAAATGACAGAAGTAATATTAACTAAGAACGGAATCAATCTCTGGGAATGGTATTTAACTACTGGAACAATATACTTAAACAGTAAATGAACCCACAACAATACAAGGATTATTACACCTTAAAAGCAGAAAATATCCTCCTCTCTCAGATGGCCGATTGAAGAGAATTACCCTTTATTCCTTAGGCAGCCATTGAGACTCATGCTCAATGCCACTGCTCCTACTACCCCTTTTTACCAGAATACTCAATACCCATCCCACTCCTCACTAACTAACTTATATCCCTCACATCCTCTCATTCCTTCTCCCACTTTTCCTCTCCGTGGGCAGCCTTCCACGTGTCCAAGGTGCTAACCAACTTCCAGTTGTCATAAGCTTTCCTCCTTTGAGCCTTACAATCCACTCTTCTTCTAGGTACATTGTCCACCAATTTGAGAGCAGCTACTGGCCCATAAACATCAGTCAGCCCATCAACAATTGGATCATCCTCAGCCAACCCATCCCCAGTTGGTCTCTCCATAATTGGTTTCCCTTCTGACGCATGAGACCCACTAACAGTTGGTCCACTAGGAGAAAGCCCATCCACCGCAACTGAGTGTCCATCAGCCTACGATATTCAAAGATGCAAGGGATTATGTGGAAAGATGTGATAAATGTCAAAGAGTTGGAAACATTTCCCGCAAGGATGAAATGCCTCTAAATAGCATATTAGAGGTAGAACTATTTGACGTGTGGGGAATAGATTTTATGGGACCATTTCCTTCATTATTCTCCAACCAATACATCCTTGTTGCTGTTGATTATGTCTCCAAGTGGGTTGAGGCTGTAGCTCTTCCCACTAATGATGCTAAGGTGGTTGTGAACTTTTTACGGAAGAATATTTTCGCACGGTTTGGTGTACCTAGAGCTATAATAAGTGATGGAGGCACTCATTTCTGCAACAAGCAGTTTGATAGTTTGCTTTCAAAGTATGGAGTAAATCATAGGGTGGCTACACCTTACCATCCTCAAACCAGTGGACAAGTTGAAGAGGATCCTTGAGAAAACTGTTGGGAATTCTTTGAAGGACTGGGCAGGAAAGCTCGATGATGCGCTTTGGGCATACAGGACTGCATTCAAGACTCCAATCGGTATGTCTCCATATCAATTGGTTTATGGGAAATCTTGTCATTTGCCTGTAGAGCTGGAACATAAGGCTTTATGGGCTACTAAATTCTTGAATTTCGAACCAATGAAAGCTCTTCAGAAAAGATTACTGCAGCTGAATGAGCTAGATGAGTTCCGATTAGTTTCTTATGAGAGTGCCCGAGTTTATAAAGAGAAAACCAAGAAGTGGCATGATAACAAGATTATACACAAGGAATTTGAGCCAGGACAACAAGTGTTGTTGTATAATTCTCGCCTAAGACTGTTTCCGGGAAAGCTTAAGTCCAGGTGGTCTGGTCCATTTGTGGTGAAGAAAGTATTCCCTTATGGATCAGTTGAGATATCTCCCTTAGATGATGATAGACCTTTCAAAGTCAATGGAGCTAGACTCAAAGCTTATCAGGGAGGACTCGTGAAGAGAGACACTGAGGTTTTGTCTCTCATAAAAAATTGAAATTTCAAAGAGGTAACTGTCAGGCTCGTGACGTTAAACACGCGCTTATTGGGAGGAAACCCAACGTAGAAGTTGTTGTATCTAAAAAAAAATGCATGTCGCAGTATAAAAGGCAGCAACATGACGCAACTTGGCGCCATAGTGGCGCCAGTTGGCGCCGCTGCAAAGAAAAAATAAAAAAAATAAACGGCGCCACTGCGCGCCAAAGCGGCGCCAGTGGGCGCCGGGGCGCGGTCTTGCGCAAGGGCGCAGACCAGCGCCGACGAAAAAAAAAAAAGTGTCGGCAAAACAAAAAAAAGTGTCGACAGAGAGAAAAAAAAATCACATTTTTTTCCACCGACACCCTCCTCTCAAATCCCTATTTCTCTCTCTCTCTTTTTCCCAAAACCTCATTCTCTCTCTGACGCCCTTTTCTTCTTTCTTCTTCTTCTTCTTCCTTCTTCTTTCTTCTTCTTCACATCACACACATTTTTTCTCCACACTCCTTCCCTTCCCATTATATTTTATTTGTTTTATTTTTACTTTCTTAAAATACTACAAGATCCTCTCACCACACACTCCATTTTCATGGCGCCCAAGGTAAAGTCTTCATCTTTTTGAATTTTTATTTTGGTTTAATGAACTGAGAGCAAGACTATATCTGAGTATTGTTTGATTTGATGATATATCTAGTATGATGTTTTGTGTATGGGGGGTGGATTCTGTATGTGTGGGTTCTTAACGTGTGGGGGTAAGCCATTCATGTGAATCTCTAAAAAAAAAAAAAAAAAAAAAATAATTTGCTTTTATGGTCATATCATATATGTATGTGTAGATAGACATTTTGAGTCTTGTAATGTTGAATCTTTTGCTCGGTATTTTATTTGCGAGTAAATTGGGTATATTGCTGTGATATAATCTGAGATAAATCTGGGAATTATCGCTGTGTTATGGGCTAATTGTGATATTTTATATACCCTTCGCACTGGATTACTTTTCTGATTTTCAGATCTTTATGGGTAAAGAACCAGCGACAAGTGGTAGTAAAAAGAAGCGCAAAGTTTCTCAGCTGGATGAAAGCAGATTTGTGAACATGGAAGCCCAAAAGAGATTCTATGACCTTTATGAGAACAAGGGCTTCATTCATGAAAGAACCATTGATATGGATTTGCCAGAAGATAATCCCATTATGCGAACCATCCAAAGAAGGAAATGGGAGGTGCTGGTAAGTTATACTAAACCAGCCTCAAGCTCAATTGTTAAGGAGTTCTGTGCCAATGCCGAACTGGAGGATTTAGATACCACTAGAACTTCATGGGTTAGAGGAGTTGTGGTTCCTATTGATGCAGCCACCATTGAGTCCTACCTGCTGACAGCTTTCAGGGAAAATACTTCTTGTGAGTATACCTCCTTGTATAACAGAATGTTTCCTAGTATGGGGCGCAGGCTGTACCGGGATGAATTTTCTTCTTTGACAGAAATGGTAAGGAAAAGGATTACTCAACCATTCTCCAAATGGGACACTAAAACTGGTGGTATCCAAGAAAAGTTATGTATGAAAGGGCTGACAGGTGAATGCCGTTTCTGGCATTGTTTTGTGAATGCTAATATCTTGCCCTCTTCTAATCTATCAGATGTGAATATTGAGCGGGCATCTCTGTTATACATTCTTATTGGGCCAGAAAGATTGGACATTTCTACAGCGTTATCTGATAGAATTTATCATATGGTAAAAGGGAGTAGACGGAAAGAACATTTGGGTTTTGCTTCTCTTATTCTCCACTTGTGTACCAGGGCAGGAGTGCTTATAGCTGCGGATGAGGAGTTTGATATTCAACCTGCATCTATGCTGACTTTGGCTACATACACAGATCAGTGTAATAAATCTGAGGTTGAGTTCAGAAGCGACAGCCAAAAAGCTACTAGGCCTCCATCTCCACGTGTTCCACGTATGCTTATTCAACCTCAGGTACCTGAGCTAGATGCTCCTGAAGCACATTATGATCAAGCAGCTCCAGTTGCTCCACCGGGACCTTCTCCTACTTTTGATTTTTATGGAATGCAACAGCAGCTTTCACGGCTGTCTATTCAAAATGAGAAGATTATTATGCAGGGAGAATATTTTCAACGCTTCCTAGAGCATGCATATCCTTCTGTCCCGTTTGAGACATTCCAGCCTGTGTACCCAGAGGTTCCTCCTCCCTATATGTATCAAAACCCTTATCCTGCTCCAGCTCCAGCTGATGTTCCCATGCCATCACAGCCATTTATGGACCCACAGTTGTATCGTCCTATTCCTGACCCATTCCATGCTGCTAGGAGGATGGTCATGGAGGAAAGTGACGATGAGGATGATTGATGTCTCCTTGCTGATGGAGAACTTGTATATTAGTTCATTTTTCTATTTCGTATCTTCTTTTTTTTCCTTTAGTTACTTTGTGTTAGTATATTTTTCTCTGATGTTTTAATGTGCGCATTATAGTTTATTCTATATGCCACTGTTTGTTCTATTGTGCAGGGTTTTCTTCTTTCTTGTGGTTTAATTATTGCTGAGGACAGCAATTCTATAAATCTGGGAATGGTAGGCAGGCTTGCACCTGAGAACTGCAATTCTTCTATCAGAGGAGATACTCTAACTCTTTTAATTTTCTTAGTTATTTTTATAGTTATTTTGTGTGATATATATATAAAAAATAAAAAATAAAAAATTTGAACATGTTTTCTAAGCAAGTCCCAGGTTTAGATATGCTTTCCCTAGTTAACTTACCTGATTCATCCTAGGAAACATGTTTTGTATGAACTTCTGGCATAATATTGTATGGGCATGAGTAGACTTCATGATTGCTCGTTTGTCTGAATTTTGTGTTTGAATGATTAATGATGCCTGATGTTTCTTTTGGAAGTCTAGCTTGACATCATAGCTGGTGGGGTTTTGTGCTTAAACACTTATTTTATTCTGAGAGAACTCATTGTGATGGCATTCTAGAACTTGCTCTATTTCTCTGAGATGCATGCATTGGTTGATATGATAAAGGCATTTTGTTCTTGTTAGCTATTGGCCAAAAATAACCCACCTGTATGAATTTTTCTATTGCTAACCCCTTTGAGCCTGAGCCTTTTTGTTCATAATTCCTGATTGATGGCTTAGCCTATAGCCATGTGACTTACCTTAATTGAGATTGAATTATTGATGTGTTGAAAAATAAAACAAAGAAATTGAGGTAAGCTCCACAAAGGTCAAGTAATTAGGGGAGGTGAAATTTCATCTGTGCCCTTAAAACAAAAGGGAGAAAAAGAAAAAAAAGGAAAGGAAAAGAAAAAGCAAGAAAAAGAAAAAGGATGAATGTAAAGGAGAAGTGGTTGATAGGAATTAATTCTCGAAATTCTGTGGGAATCTGAGTGGAGAAAAACCATTGAGTTGGATGATGTTAAAGTGAAATAATACCAATTTTTCAATCTCATTGTTGTTTGAGCTACTAACCATAAATTTCTACCCTTAAGCCTGGCCAAGTTACAACCTGTGAAGTCCTTTTGATCAATTATGCATGTGTTAATGTTCTTTATCTTTAGGAACTTGAGAATATGATCAAGCTTATGGTAATGTTATTGCTGTGATGGATTGAGTGATTGTTACACCCTTAAACACTTGAGAGCTGAGCGTTATATGATTATCTTGGCGAGGGGTGTTCAAGCTAGATTCTGACATGTTCATAAGAATAGAAGGCATTGTTAGGAGTTCTTTGCATTGATTCAGTCATGCTTAGCATAGTGATCTCTTGATTGTCTGAGTGATGTAGTGTTGGAATAATTGATTGTTTCCTGGATTGAGTCTTGTACATTGCTGGGGACAGCAACGTTTAAATCTGGAAATGATTTGATGTGCCTCTGGCAAGTGTGGTTTTTCAGTATTAAAATTGATAAGAATTGGGTCATAAGAGAGCAATTTAAATACATATTTGCTATTTATATTGATTCTTTCTATGTCAATAATATTCACCTTTTGGTTGTGTTTTTATAGGAAAAAGAGGAGTGAAAATTACAAATTATAAAAAGCCTCTTGACGCGACTCCACACGCACGGATGTATCACAGTACAAATGCCAGAGAATTGTTTCCTGGATTGAGTCTTGTACATTGCTGGGGACAGCAACGTTTAAATCTGGAAATGATTTGATGTGCCTCTAGCTTATTAATTTCCAATCTTCTAGCTCCATCGTCTCATTTGACGCATCATCCACCCATCTAAAAAAAATTGCAGTGTGTCTTCTTTTCCTAGCACCAGATGAAACCAAACTCATAATAACATTCAACTTAAATAAAAACGAATGAACCTAACTGAAAAATAAATAATGTGTATAGTTGTCTATAAATTACTCACCTTGAAATTGAGACACTTAAAAAATATTTTATTTGGGTTTCTATGAGTTTTAGAGGTGTATACAACACTTGACCTCCCGCATTTACACCTTGGAGCAAAAGTCATTCTTCGGTTTCTAGCCCTAATTAAAGTGCAAAGGATTGAGCTCCCCATTCCAGAAGAAACATCCATCTTCTCACCCTAAATTACAAAGAACACACAAAATATGCAGTAAGCCCTAAATTGCAACGTACATACAACGATGGAATACCTAATTAGATGTGTTTCTAATTAAGCAACACTATACGACGACGTTAATTGGGGATGTTGAGGGGGGGAAGAATAGTTCAACTTTAATTGGTTTCTGCAACAACGTTGAAGTGATATCCTATATGACGACATTTTTATTCCTACATAGAACGTGAGTTATTTGGATAACGCGACACCCCATTCACGTTACTATTGCCGTGTGTTTATGACTGATGCAAGAACTAACACGAGTTCACTTTGCCTTTCTTGATGAGCTCAAAATTAATTTTTTTATAAGGGACCAAAATGAAAATCATATTTTTTGTTAGGGACCCAGATAGGAGTTTACTCTATTTTTTAAAAAACCTGCACGGTTGTGTGTTGAGAGGACGTGTCTTATGGTTGCTTTAATATATATTTTTTATTTAAAGATTATTCGGTCTGAAGATTTCATGTGTCAAATCTAAACCCTTTTTGTAAATATTATTCAACATTATCAAATGCTATTGCTTGAATTTTTTTTTCTTAATGTAAATCATTTAATTAACATGTAGGTTTTCCATAACATGGCAGTTAACAAGCACGCACACGGATCTTTTTGAAAAATTTGCGTGTCGGATACGTGTCTGACACACTCCGACACGCGTCTGACATGTAGTCAACATTTAGGGACACGCAGTCAACTCTCAGACATATTTTTTCGACACGCTGTCAATTTTTTCCAACACGCGGTCAATGCTCCGACAAATTTTTTTTTAATCTTAATTTTATTTTATTAACTAAATATAAAAAAATAATTTATAAATTAATTTTTTTCTGTTATGAAATTTGACATGAAAAATTAACAAAGTACAAAAAATTATTTTTATATATATTTATGTTATGAAATTTAAATATTTGATTGGTTATATGACTTATTATGGACTCTTATATGTATTAAATATAATCATATTATATATATTAAAAATTTTATTTAATATCAAAATATATTCCAACATGTTAAAATATGACATTTTTTAAAATCAGCATGTCGTGTCGGGTTGTGTGTTTCGTGTCAATGTCATGCATCATAACATGACAATAGGTGGAAAAAAAAAAAAAAAAAACTCAACTTCTTAAGCAAGTATGGAAGACCATTCCGATGACGATGACATATGGTCTTACGTAATCCGTCAATTAACTTCTTAATAACTAAGAAAAACAAAAAAATATCTTCCCATTAAAACTTGACTTGTGTTTTATCTATGGGAAAAGTGTGTATAATTTTAAAGGATGTAAAGTTGTGTCATTTTAAAAGAGAGAAAGAGATAGATAAAGGAGGAGAGAGAGTTGACAAAAAAAATAAAGGTGTGGATCCCACCTCTTTGTAAGAGTGAAAGAATATAAGTTGTGTAATTTTAAATGATAGACACTTTTCCCTTTATCTATTCATGTGCATAATATAAGCACCCAATTTCACGTTGTGACTTGTGAGCATATCGTTATACTACACACAAAAAACATGGCTGCTCAACACCAATCTTTGCCGCTTCAAGACCGAGTCGCAATCGTTACTGGCTCGTCCCGCGGAATCGGCCGAGAAATCGCCATTCACCTCGCTTCACTCGGTGCCCGAATCGTCATCAACTACACCTCCAACTCGGACCTAGCCAACTCAGTCGCCGCCCAGATCAACGCCGATTCAGCCACCGCCAGAGCCGTCACCGTCCGAGCCGACGTCTCCGATCCGGACCAGGTGAAGTCCCTATTCGACTCGGCCGAGCGAGCCTTCGACTCGCCGGTTCACATCCTGGTCAACTCGGCCGGAGTTCTCGACGGCAAGTACCCGACCATAGCCAACACCACCGTGGAGTCCTTCGACAAGACCTTCTCGGTGAACGCGAGAGGAGCGTTCGTGTGCAGCAGGGAGGCGGCGAACCGGTTGAAGCGCGGCGGCGGAGGGCGAATCATACTTCTGACGACGTCGATGGCGGCGGCGCTGAGGCCTGGTTACGGCGCGTACGCGGCGTCGAAGGCGGCGGTGGAGGCGATGGTTAAGATCCTGGCGAAGGAGCTGAAGGGGACGTTGATAACGGCGAATTGCGTTGCGCCGGGACCTATCGCGACGGAGATGTTCTTCGAGGGGAAGACGGAGGAGATGGTTAATAGGGTGGTGGAAGAGAGTCCCATGTGTAGGCTCGGTGAGACCAAAGACGTTGCTCCTGTTGTAGGGTTCTTAGCCACTGATTCTGCTGAATGGGTTAATGGTCAAGTGGTTCGTGTTAATGGTGGCTATGTTTAGTTCCCACAATTTAGGAACAAGTGGTACTTTTTCCCTAATAAAAATTAGTTTGCACTGTGTGTGGTTACATTACATCAAGATGTTAATAGGTTTATTTTTATGTTTGAAAGATTTATCATCAGCATTAATAAAAAAACAAAAATGAAAAGTTTTGGATTATTCTCTATTCATTACAGGGAGATGAATATGAAGGGTTAATAAACAAAGAAATAAGACAAATGAGTTCTGCTATATATATATACTATTCTTGATTACTTGGTTTGATCATAGTTTATTGTCTGAAGATTAAGAGCAAATTATTAGTGAATGTGTAAACTACAGGACTCAGTTGGTCAAATCTTTTGCATGCAAAGGCGTGTGATCCAATTCAGTTTTCATTTGAGAAGAGTTAGTTTAAAGAAATCATCTCTCGGGACTTCTTGAGTGTTGACAATTATTTATTAATTATATGAGTTTTGAACTTACGTGTGAAAGCTAGACTCAATATCAGAAAATGATTCAGGTGAATAATATAAAATACGTCAGATTATTTGACCCTATTTTTGTTTCATTTTTTATGTGATGGTGGTGTTTTTTGTTTTTTTAATCCTATTTCCTTTAACAGTCTAATAAGAAAACTCCATGTGCAGATACTTGGAAGACACGTATGTTGATGAAGAGGTATAGAATTTTTTTTTTACTTCATTATGGGATACCCTAACTACCTCTCATCTCTGGTCAAACAAGAAAGGGGAAAAGATCAGTAGTTTCTTTCATGCAAGATCCATAAAAAGCTCTGACTTGATATTTAACAATAATAGGTCAACTCAACACTCAAAATCCAGCAACTTGAGAGAAACACAGTTTTGTAGTAATTCAATTAGGAAGTGATTTATATGTTCAAGGGAAGTTCATTCATGTCATAACTGCGCCTCAGTTTTTTTATTGTAGTTGTTTTTGTCAAAGACTGAAATTCCAAACCACTTGCTTGGAGATAAGCCACTGATAATTGATTCTCAGGCAAAGCTTGCTGCTCAATGGGATTTCATATTCTCTTCTTATATGTCATTTTGATGCCATTTATCAGTTTTGGAAATAGTGCTCAAGAATCCCAGAACTTTACAAGTAATCGCAATGATTTGAAAGCCTTGACTGGATTCTCTAACTGCCTAGAATCAGCTATTTTGGACTGGAACAGCTCTAACTCCCCTGATTACTGCAATTGGTCTGGTGTCACTTGTGATGCCTTGCCTGGTTCAGTCACAAGAGTGGTTCGCTTGGAACTTGGAAACAGAAGACTTGGTGGAAAAATCTGTGAATCCTTAGCAGGTTTGGATCAACTAAGAGTCCTGAATCTTTCCCAGAATTTCTTGAGTGACTTTGTTCCTGACAAGTTGTTTCATCTTCAAAACTTGGAGGTTATAGACTTGAGTAATAATTATTTTGAAGGCTCTATAAATGCAGCTATCTGTACCTCTTTGTCTCAGGTTCGAATATTTAAACTGTCTAGTAACTTCTTTTCTGGTAAGATTCCAGAAAATTTAGGTAATTGTTCCTCTCTGCAGCATCTGTCCATTGATGGAAATGATTTGTCAGGAAGCATTCCAGAGAGTATCTTTCATCTGCAAAATTTGAGTGTACTTTATCTGCAGGATAATAAGCTATCTGGGCCACTGAATAAGAGAGTTGGTAACCTTTCAAACCTAGTGGAATTGGACATTTCCAATAATGGGTTTTCTGGAATTCTTCCTGATATCTTTGGGAGCCTCACACGGCTTGAGGTTTTCTCTGCTGAGTCAAATAAATTCACTGGTCAGTTGCCTGCAACATTGGTGAATTCTCCATCTCTTCAAATGCTTATTATGAACAACAACTCTTTGAGTGGTTCAATTAATTTGAATTGTTCTATGATGAAAAATCTAACCTCCCTTGGTCTTGGTTCTAATCAGTTTCATGGTCCAATTGGCAGTCTATCAAATTGCCTAAGATTAGAAGCAATTGATCTTGCCCGTAACCATCTCCATTGTGGGATTCCTGTTGACTTCAAGAATCTTCAGTCCCTAACCCAACTCTCACTTTCAAACGCCAGCCTGCATAATTTGTCTGCAACACTTGAGGTTTTAAGTCACTGCAGGAACTTAAGTACACTAGTCCTTACTTTGAACTTCTGTAAGGAAGAAATGCCACAAGGTCAAAATCTAGATTTCAGTAATCTCAAGGTTTTTGTCCTGGCCGACAGTCAGATTAAAGGTTCAATCCCAAAGTGGTTAAGCGGATGCAAAATGCTGCAGATGCTGGATCTGTCATGGAATCATCTCAGTGGAAGCATTCCCTCATGGTTTGGCAAGTTTAACAATCTCTATTACTGGGACTTGTCAAATAACTCTTTCACTGGCAACATACCACAGAGCTTGAACATGGTCTTGAGCCTCCAGTACAGGAATTTTTCATTAGAAGGAAAACTTTCTGCCTTTCCCTTTTACACTAGTGGGAATATGAAGGGTATGAAGAACAAATACAAAAAAGTTTCAAGTTTCCGACCATCTATAATTCTCAGTTACAACAAGCTTCAAGGACCAATATGGCCAGGTTTTGGTAACCTGAAAGGGCTACATGTTATGGACCTGAAACATAATAGCCTATCGGGACCAATTCCTCTCCAATTATCAGAAATGACAATGCTGGAGATTTTGGATTTGTCTCACAACAAACTCTAAGGAGAAATACCACAGTCATTAATGAAACTAAGTTTCTTATCTACATTTGATGTGTCTTATAATCAATTGCATGGGGAAATCCCAATGGGGGGACAGTTTGATACTTTTCCACCTAAAAGCTTCGAAGGGAACATGGGTCTCTACCATTGTGGCACTTCTTGCTTTATGCCTTCTCCACCAAATAATTTTGGTTTGGTTGAAAACAGTTCGCGTCAATCTTATTCTGAAAAGAAAAAAGAAATTAAAGAAATAAAGTAACAAAAATTAGTTTAGTGTTTGATTCGGTTCTTGAACTAATTTTAAAAACCAGTTCAGCTCATGAACTGGTTCTTTAAAAATCAGTTTGGCTCATGAACTAATTTTTAAAAATTAATTAATTTAAGTGTAGTTCATAGTTCGATTCAATTTTTGGTTATTTTATTTATCCCTATAAGAGGAGTTGAGTTTACGCTAAGTTGAAATTAAGACAACTGAATCAGATAATATCCCTCCCAAAAAAAGGAAAAAAAGTGAGGACTCGACAGGAAAAAGCAAAAATTATTTGATTTAAATGGGATAAAAAAAATTATATAAAAAGAAGATGCACCAAGTTGTACGGGAATATAAAAAATAAAAAAAAATAAAAAAAAAATCCGTTCTAAAGGGTCTCATATAATACATATACAGTCCCCTGATTCAGAACTAATATTTTATAGCCAATTAGTCCACAAAAATGAAAATTTTCAATTATATTTCTACTAAGTTGGCCTCTTACCTTACACAAAAAATTTAAGATCTGGAATATAATTTCAATCAAATACTTATAAGTTGCATGTGAAGTACAATTTTAATGACGAAAATGCCATTTCTAAATATCAATGTTCATTTCGGTTCTTTCTAACCTAAATAAGGCTACATATGGATGTTGGGTTTAATATGCTCTTTTCACTTAAGCCCAATAGCTTTAGTGAGAGTGAGCCCAAAAGACTAATTTCAACCCATGAAGCTTAGGGTTAGTCTTGGATTGGGTAGAGTATATAAACTCTCTTTTCTCTCTAATGCCTCCTAGAGTTACAGACATCAGAAACACAAAGAGGAGGCAGACGTTCATCATCTGAACGGTTGCCCACACGACCACCTGATCCCCCTTGAGTCATAGCCTGGAAGATCAACCGTAGAGCGGAATTGCGACCGTTCGTGGTGCGTTGCTGCAGATCGTGAGGCTTGAGGAGGAGAATAGAACGTGAGAAATTGTCACGCTCGCTGCTTCATCTCAGGTAATCAAAGCGGTGTTCTTCATTCCTCATCACATCGGTACGATGCGCTTCCGCGTTTCTGATGATATACCTTCAATTGGTATCAGAGTCGGATTGTGATGGGGATTTAGATCAGCTTTGATTTATTGATTTATTTTTGTGATTTTGAAAATATGGCACCTTTATTCTGTATCTGTTATTGAAACTCATGTTTTAATTCTTTATAGTTCATTTTCATAAAAGTTTAGATTTTAATCAGTAAAAATGCTTTAATTCATGGTTAGGGTCTCTCGTGTATTTCTCGATTTGTAACAAGGAGGCTAATCTCATATGATTAGGTTTCCTCCTTGCTATTTTTTTAATTTTTTCGGAATTTTTGTGTATTTTTCAATATTTTGTAAAGATTCAAGATCGAGAAATCGTGAGGAAGATGCACAGTCAGCACTGTCGAAGACTTTTCGAGGACTTCCCGATCTCAGAACGGGGCGATCTATATATGGTTTAAAAGAGGACGGAAAGACGAACGCAACGGTGGGTGGATCGCCGCCATCGGAGACTCCACGCTCCGCCACGTGCCTCCACAAGAGGCTGAGAGTGGCCGCCACTCTCCAGCAAAGAATGGGAGAGTGAGGGAGCGTCCGGCCACCTTTTTGGGTGGTTCCGGCGGCGGTGCACTCGTCTCTATGTGGCGGTCCTTCCCCTGGAGTTTTGGCCTGATTTGACTTCGGGTGACGGCGCGGCAGACCTGACGGCTAGGGTTCCTCTTTCGCGTCCTAGGGTTTCTCGCCAAAGGATTGGGTCTTTGGACTTTTGGGCCCATGAAACCCTTAAGGGGCTTGAGACAGATACTATGGGCTAGGCGAAAGTCGAATTCCAAAGTTGTATTATTTTATTTTATTTTATTTTCTTTAAAATAGGAAGGCCACGGATTAAAGTAATTATGATTTATTATTTAATGCTTTTATTGAATGAAATGAATTATATGTGCGATTAACATGATATTTGCGATAACATGTCATATAGGATATGAAGGTGCCATATTGCTGCATGATCACATGTCATACGTGCATATTTAATATTATGTCATTACCGACTAGTATGATAGTTTATGCGCGTAGTTTTGATTTTAAATATTCCGGTAAAATAAAATTATGATTATTATGATTTTGGAAACAAAATCTAGATTAATGGTTATATTAATTTCGAAAATTAATTTAATTATTATGATTTTGGTAAAATCTAGAATAATCAAATTGATTAATTTTGGAGTTTAAAATCAAGACAAGTAGTAAGAAAATTTCCTAAGAGAATTTTTTTATTTTGCGAGTAATTTATGGGTCTACTAAAATGGTCATGTGTTAAACACACGCTGCATACCACAATCATGTATCATGATTGTGTGAAGCACACGCTGCCTATCATGACCGGATTTTAGGACCTTAATGATTTCAAAATTCAGATAAGTTAAGTGATGCACGTTCATCGGCGCTCTTGCTTACATAGTTTTTGAAATCAAATAAAGGATACTCTCAATTAAATAATTCTTGGAAATTGGAAAATATTGCTTATGTTGAATGGAAGGAGATTTAAATTAAGAAATTAATTTAACCTTCCAACGCATTATAAAGACCATTAATAAAATAATAATGTGAAGTCTCATCGAATAAGCATGATTGGATTTTATTAGATTGGACCTAAATAATTATGGGAGGAGATTTAGATTAAGAAATTAATTTAACCTTCAGGCGCTTTGTGGGCCTATCAATAAAATAATCATGTGAGACCCCAACGGATTAGCATGACTGGATTTTATTGGGCCTTAATAATTTCAAAATTTTAATAAAGTATTGTACGGCCCATCGTCGATAATACTAAGTTATTAAAGATAATTTTGAAATTAAACAATGAATTCGACAGGGCTTATGAAAATTCTCAAACAAAAATGTTGAATGGGTGAAGGTTTTAAAAATTAATTAATTTTAAAACCTGCGGGCTTCATTTGTGGGTTTATTAGTGAAATGGTTATCGCTGAAGCCCCATCGGATAAGGATAATCAGATTTCACTAGATTAAATCTTAATAATTTCAAAATTTTAGTAAAGTATTGTACGGCCCATCGTCGGCAATGCTTAGACACTTAGGATAATTTTGAAATTAAACAATGGTTAATTACATACAATAAACAAGAGTAGTTATGAGAATCTACTTGCACTTCGTTTGTTTATTGCATTATTTGTTTGTAATTATGTGCTTTATATGTTTTTCAGAAAATATCTTAGAAATGATTTTGAGTCGAAAACCTCTAGATGGTACCAACTATGAATAAGTGAAAAGCAAATCTTTGATATTGTTCTAAAACATGGAAGCTAAAATTTGTCCTGACAATGCGAAGGCCATAGCAACCTGCAGAGAATGCGTCTAAGGAAACTAATATGCATTTCTCAGATTGGAAAAGGGCAGATATGGTAGTTCGCTGCTATATTATTGTCAGTCTTTCCAAATACTTGCAGAAGCAAGTGTACATGATTAAGAGTGGAGTAAAAATGCTTCAGACTCTTAATGACATGTTTGCTGCGTCTAGCAGCTCTGCTAGACAGAATGCAGTCGGTGCAGGTTTTGCTAAGAGTCTTGTTAAATCCAAAGGGAAACCCAAGGGTGGTAACAAGAACAAAATGACTTGGTTATCAGTTGTCAAACTAGTTGCTATGAAGAAGCCGCAAGGCAAGTTCTTCAAGTGCAGACTGAAGGGATACTGAAAGAAAAATTGCCCAGAGGTGATGAAAAGAACCAGACATGGGCATATCAAGGTCTGATCAGTGAATGAATTATTGATTCAGGAATCACTGATTATGTTTGTTACTCTTTGTAGTTCAAACATGGCATACCTGTCAGCAATGGACATAGATATTTTAAGCTTGAAAATGGGAACTTGTGTTTGCATTTACAGTAGGACAAGTTATTTATAAGACTATGGTTTTGGGTGACTGTTTATTTGTTCCAGATTTCAAGAGGAATTCAATTTTTGTTAGTTGTTTTGGTTAAAACATGGTTTGACAATGCAATTGATTCCTCAGTTACATTTCGAAGTTCATCTTCGTCTTGTTTTGTTCTGGTACATTGTTTAAATAGTCTTTATTACCTATGTCCTATACCCTTTTAAATTTGTTATGTTGAATGGAAAAGGTGATGAACAAGAATATTCACCAAAGAAATAAAAGTTTCAAATGAAACATAACTTTGGCCTTTGTGATTGAGTCACATTATCTCAAGTAGAAAATATGTTTTAGTTAAAAGAGAGACTGAAAGTTCAAGAATCTTTTAACTAACAGCTACATGTTAGTCCTATTTGGAAGGTAAAGTGGCCAAGCAATCCTACAAAGGCCAAAAAGATTTGCGCAACTATTCAACTGGAACTGGTACATACTAATGTATGTGGACCAATTAGCGTTCAGACCAGAAGAGGTGATGAGTACTTCATTATATGAATGTTTACTCTGGATTTGGACAGATGAACCAAGTGCGCTATAAGTCTAAAGCTTTTGGAAATTCCAAGAGGTTTAGTCTGAGGCAGAAAAGCATGTAGGTGTTCAAATCAAAAACACTTTGGTCTGACTAAAGTGTCGGCTACCTGTCTGGTAAGTTCAGGTCTTACCTGATTTAAGAGGGGATAGTTTTCGTAACTGTCAACTCTAAGAATGCGTTAGTTGAATGTAGTTGCAGTATGCGAAAATCAAACATTTCTAGACTTGGTGAAGATCATGTTCAGTTATTCATCTTTGCCAATGTTGTTCAAGGGAGATGCCTAAGAGAAGGAAATCTACCTTCTTAACTTGGTTCCGTCAAAGTTTGCTGTAAAGACACCTAAAGAATTATGGAAGGGGTGCAAGCCCAGATCAAACCATATTCGGATTTAGGGTGCTACGGCACACGTCCTACAACAACAGTCAAATGAGATGGAATCTTGTATGGAAGAGTGCATATCTTTTGGCTACCCTAAGAGAACTAGGGATGATTTCTTATTTAGTATTAAGGACAAGATAATCTAAGTGAGCACTCACATGATTTTCTTAAAGGAGGACTAGTTAAGAAATTATAAGCTCTTAAGTTAGGTTATTCTTGATGAGATTTATCTGAGATCAAGAATTTCCAGAATCTCTAGAAGATTCATCCATTGTTCCCTTGATTGTTCAAGAGGGGATATATATATCTCTAAGTGAACAAACAAGAGAACCATGATTGGAAATTCAACATGATAATATATAAGTGAAACTAGTAGAAATATTAGTATCACATGTAAAGGAACAATATCAAGGATAAGCGGATCCTCAAGAAATTGAAGATCCATCATTTGACCCACTCTTTGTTTTACCTTTAAATACACAAGATCTAGTGCAGTACATTCGTAGTGGGAGAGAACCTTGTTAACTCTCAAGTTGTCTCTTGTTAAGTGATATTGATCCTACTAGTTACGATAATGCAATAGAAGATGTTGTTGATCAAGTGTTGCTCAAGTTATGAACAATGAGATGAAATACTTGTATTTCAACTCCGTTCGGTCCTAGTAAAGACACCAAGAGGGGTAAAACCCACAAGGTGCATGTGGACATAAAAGGCAAAGAGAGGATGGACAGGAAGGTGAAAACCTTCAAAGCTAGCTTGGAGGCAATTTTTGCCAGACGCCATGCTTGAGTCTATCCAGATTCTCTTAGTTGCTATAAGTCTCAATTATGAGATTTTATTTTGGGAGTTGGATGTCAGGATATCTACATACAACAACCAAAAGGGTTTATAGCAAATGAGTAGGAACACACGGTATGCAAGTTGTGAAAGCCTATTTCATAGACTTAAGCAAGCATCCAGGTCTTGAAACATCATTTTTGATCAGGTTATCAAAATTTTGATTTTGAGAGAACCTTGATGAATGATGTGTATTTGTATGTAAAGGATCCAACGGAAGACAGTAGCTTTTCTGGTACTTTATGTAGATGATATGCTCCTTATTAGAAACAATGTGGAGGTAATATCAAGCATAAAGAGTTGGCTAAGGTAGTGTTTTGGTATGGAAGTATTGGGGAAGCCAATTATATTCTTGGTATAAAACTCTTATGAGGCCAGAAGAATAAGTTGTTGGCATCACCTCAGGCTACTTACATTGACAAAAACTCTTGCCAAAATTCAACATGAGAATTCTAAGAGAAGAATTATAATTCTCAGATGTGGAATTCATCTTCCTAAGGAGTGACCAAAGACTTCTAAGAAGGAAGAATGCATGAGCAAGATATCTTATGCTTTGGCAAAGGTAGACTCACGCATATCATGTTGGGCGTTAAACCAGACGTCTGTCACGCAGTGGGAGTAGTGAGATAGTACCATTTTGAACCTAGAGGAATACTAGATTATTGTTAAGCATGTACTCAAGTATCTTTGGAGAACGAGAGATTATATGCTGGTATATTCTAGTGGGAGTCTTGAAAAGCTGAGTTTTCAAAAATTCAGTTATTTCAAGTGGATATTGACTCAAGAAAATCAACCTCGAGCTATGAGTTTTTCACTAAACTCACATAGCATTAGAGGTGGATCTTGCAGACCCAGTTACTAAAAGTTTGCCTGAATTTGTGTTCGAGAGGCATGTTACTCCTTTGGGTCTTAGGAGGATCCCAGACTTGCATTAAGCAAGTGAGAGTTATTGGTTTCATTACGCTCTTGGAGTAAGACGATGAAACAATAAAATAATTTTCTGAATTTCATAAATAAGGTTTTATTTATTTATTTTGCGCACTATTTACAAACATAAAGGTCCGGATCAAATTGTGGAGTATATGACCATATGGATACGTTCATGGAGGACATGGTCATAAGTTCTCACAATTGATGAATGGAGTCACAGCCGTTAAATAAAGTTGGGCACTTTATTCAGGCTGCAATATTTTATGAAATAATTTTGTCCGAATCATTGTAAAATATTGGTGTAAATTAACATTCACATTGAAAGGATCAAGGAGAGATTTGATTAAGGTTGTTTTTCTGTCATAAGGCATCAAATCTCTAGTTAACTATAGTTATGTGATTGCTCTTAATCCTGAGTTTATTATAAATAGGTAATCAAATAGTTTTCATTCTTTGATTTACCAACGGGTGAGGTTCGATCTATTGACGGCCAATAACTTGGTATTTTGGGAGTGAGATTATTTGATTATCGATATTTATGAGATAAACAACAAGGAATTTGTAGGATATGTCCCCTTGATATGTTTCGGTACTTGGATATTAAAGACACTGGCCATGCATGTAATCCATTAGAGAAACTATCATAGTCAAGGGAATAAATAATTGATTGAGTTACAGAAAACTTGTCAATCAATTATAGACATTCTACAGAGGGGCGATGCATATTCATGTTATAAGTGTTAATCTTGGAGTTCAAGTTCGGGCTTTTAGTGGAGTAGCACCGAATTAGATAACCATTCGTTGATTATCAAGAGCCTTGATTAATAACAGATGGTAGATCCCCAGGCTAGCTTGAGACAAGGGACGAGTTGTATAATCAGATGATGATGGCTTATGGGCTACATAGTCTTGAGTTTATGAACTCGAGTTTGTGTCCAAAAGAGCAAGTGAGAGATTGTTGGGTTTAACATGCTCTTTTCACTTAAGCCCAATAGCTTTAGTGAGAGTGAGCCCAAAAGACTAATTTCAACCCATGAAGCTTAGGGTTAGTCTTGGATTGGGCAGAGTATATAAACTCTCTTTTTTCTCTAGTGCCTCCTAGGGTTACAGACATCAGAAACACAAAGATGCAGACGTTCATCATCTGAACGGTTGCCCACACGACCACCTGATCCCCCTTGAGTCATAGCCTAGAAGATCAACCGTAGAGCAGAATTGCGACCGTTCGTGGTGCGTTGCTGCAGATCGTGAGGCTTGAGGAGGAGAACAGAACGTGAGAAATTGTCACGCTCGCTGCTTCATCTCAGGTAATCAAAGCGGTGTTCTTCATTCCTCATCACATCGGTACGATGCGCTTCCGTGTTTCTGATGATACACCTTCAATGGAGGCATTGTGAGGAATGTTCTTGGAGACTAGTCTATATGAACGGCTTTGTGGCGAATCTAACCACTAGTGCACTAGGGCGATTACGATGACTTATAGCTTTATGTTAATTTTTTTTTATCCAAAGCGGTTTAGGGTTAAGGGAATTATTGTTGTGACTACACTGTGTGACAACCATAAAACAATTTGTGTATGAGCATGTGTTTTCTAAGCACAACTAATAAAAAAACTCAAGATAATATTAAAATAAAATTGTTAGTTTTTTATTGTTATTTTAATAGGTTTAACTTTTCTACAATTGCTGCAGAAAAGTTTGTCCTCTACAATACAGTTCATCTAAAAAAATTTGCTTATATACTCTGGGGAGTATAAAGTGTGTGGCAGATAAAAGCTTCTGCAGCAATTACTGAAATGTTTTTTCCATTCTAATATAGGAAAAAATATTTCTGCAGTTACTGCAGATAAATTATCTGTATTTTTTTCAAAACGACGTCGTTTTGGTAGTGAAATCTTAAAAAATTATAAATATAAAGACTATTATAATCCTGAAATAAATTAAAATTATAAAAACATCATGATTTCCGTTTAAAACGACATTTTTTTCAAAACGACGTCGTTTTGGTATCGAGCTTACTGCAAATAAATAACTTATATGCAGTGACCGTAGAAAAAGCGAATCCTCTAATATATGTTGAATTTTTTATTGGTTGTGCCTAATAGGCACTAGGCTCATGCAATAGAAATCCGATAAGCATATGCTTCTGTTACTGCTTTGATTGCCCAGAAACAAAATATCAATCATTCATCATGAGAATAAACATCAAGGAAAAACATGATAATATCACTTCCTGAAAATATCCAATTATATTTTTTTTGAAAGCTAATAGCAAAATAGGACAAAAGGAAGAATAAACAGATTTAGGCATGCGTTTCTTAAGCTCTGAGCCTTAAAAAATATGTGAAATGTGAACCAACCTGTATGGTAAGTATAGAACTTTTTGTCTTCAGATATATACTTCAAACCAGCTGTGACTTGTTGAGATTTCCTCTTTGAATAGTCATATCAACATTTCAATAAACACTTTGGAATAATCATCAAAGAAACTGGTCTTAAATACATTGTAGTATAATAGATAAAAGATTAAACAAAAACTTCCCAGAGAATATTTGGGCTATTGGGTAGTATAACAGGTAATCCTTACAAGAATAATTCAGAGGTGTGTATGTTTTAACAAGCAGAACATAGCTAAACATGGCAGAAGAGGGTGGCAACAATGGCTTAGAAGGGAACCTGTTGCAGTTTGTGGATCCCAACCAGCACCTTTCTACTATTGTTCCCACTATTCAGTTAGTCTATCCCTTTTCAGCTGTTCTTATTTCACTTTGTTGTATATCTATTTAGTACTAAGATTAATATGCTGAATTTTCAATTTTCACTAGTTTCTGATTTGGGATTTTTCTAGGAATATTGTGGCTACATTCAGCTTGGACTGTGACTTGGATCTTAAGAAAATTGCACAGCAAGCTCGCAACGCAGAATACAGTCCCAAGGTCTGTTTCTGGCAAATTATTAAGATATTTACTTTTGTATCCAATAAGAGTTCATCTCATAAATATAGCTGCTTTCTAAGGCCGGCTCGCTACACCTGACCCCAACCCTTCTCCATCCACCGACCCCAACTAGTTTGGGATAAAGGTGTCGTTGATGTTGATTTACTTTTGTATCCAATATTACTTGCTCTCACTGATACTAAAACACAAATGTTACTGCAGCGTTTTTCTGCTATCATAATGAGGATAAGGGAACCAAAAACAACAGCTTTGATATTTAGTTCTGGGAAGATGGTGAGTACTACTTCATCTTTATAGATTCTGTTTTTATGCATTGCAGCAATAAGTTCATATTAGTTGATCTACAAAAAATATAGTTTTTCATTTGATTGCATCTATTCTCTCTTTTTCCCTTTGAAACATTTGTAATTTCTCTGAATAATTTATGAAATCATATATATGAATATGTTAATCTTAGAATTTTAAGTTCATGTAAAAAGTTTGTTGAATACATTCTTTAAATCATTAGTTCTATTTAATGAGTTTCTGCAATGTCTTTATTTCCATTTTGTTATAACATTTTTTTGGTTTTTCCTCATCTAGATCTGCACAGGTGCCAAAAGCGAAGAAGAGTCAAGGCTTGCAGCAAGAAAGGTAAATATTTTCATTTGACCAAATGCACCATGTGCTGTAGCATTTATGTAGAACATGGTTTTCCACTTGAAAACACATTTCAAAAATCATTACGTTAGGCATAACAGGACAATGCTGAAAAGCAAATGCTTTACTTTTTGTGCAATCTATACTTACTACTAATGACATTGAAAACCAGTTTATGTATCACAAACTCTTTTGTATTGAACCTTTGAATTAGGCAATCTCATTTAAGTTAATAAGACGTAACTATTGAGTCAATCTGATATGAAATCTTGGTTTTCAGTTTGCTCGAATTATCCAAAAGCTTGGGTTTCCTGCCAAGTTTAAGGTATACTACATGTATCTGCTAATAAACTGCATACACAAAAACATAACAACAATGATTATGGATAAACCTAAGCTTTTGTTTTTGAGTCAGTTATGTACATATATACTTTCATCTAACTTGAAATTGTGACTGGTAGGACTTCAAAATTCAGAATATGGTTGCGTCCTGTGATGTTAAGTTTACCCTCAAACTTGAACTTCTTGCATGCGCACATTGTGCCTTTTCATGTGTAAGTCGTATTCAGCTACTCCCACAAGAGTGAATTCTATCACATATTTTAGACTTTGTAATTCAGTGAAACAAAATAAGAACTTGCTCATAACTCTTATAATTCCTTATTGTGCAATCTTATGCTTGATATTTACCTCTCTTTATATTCTCTCTCTCTCTCTAATTACTCTATAAACTTAAAAGTATTTAATGACACCTCATAAGAATGTCCAAAGCAATGGAGAAGAAATATCTCTAACACTAGAAAGTCACCCACCCCACTTGAGCATGAAACTCTCAAGTAATCAAGGCTCAAGTGTAAACTTCTTTTTTTTTATCTTTCATGAAACTTAAGTCTGATACCCCACACATTCGCTGGTCGGGTTTATCGGGAGTGATTTTTATGAAACTTAAGTCTGATGCTACAAAAGCCATGGTCTAATTCCATGAAAGATTTGAATTGCAGTATGAGCCAGAGATATTTCCTGGCCTGATATATCGCATGCAACAGCCAAGGATTGTATTCCTCATATTTGTTTCTGGAAAAATTGTGCTTACTGGAGCTAAGGTTGGTCCCTTGTTTTTTTGCATGTTTCTTTTCTCGGGTACTTAATTTTGAGGCCAAAATTCACCATCTTTTATTACTTGACATCATAGGCAAGAGAGGAAATATACACAGCCTTTGAGAACATGTATCCTGTTATTTCAGGGTTCAGAAAGTTTCAGAAATGGTACGACACAAGCACTTTTTATTTAAACCGGCTACATGCCTAATTGTCAAGCCTTTTTTTTTATTATTAGTAGCATTGAAAAGATTATATGACATATTAGGGAGAGTTATTCCCTTTTTGCCTTCTACTGTTTTGATTCTGCTGAGAATTTTACCTCTAATTCATCCTTTGTATGTTGGCAGATATGACTTCGAAAGGGACTTTGGCTTTGGTAAATATATTTTGATGTCAAACCTTTCTGTCTGCATTTTGGGTATCTGAAAACTTTCAATCATCATTTAGCACAAAAATGCTTTCAAGACTTTCTGATTTGTCTCTCTGTAGCTTCCTTATACTGTGACATCATTGGGGAGAATTATTCTCCTACTATATGATACATTGTTTGTGGCATTTGAACAACCAATCATCAGTTCCAATATCAATCCCAAACTTGACTGGTGTAATCTGTTGATTGATATATATTCTTAAATATATATATACCTTGATATTTTAAATTCAACCGTATCCTTCTAATTAGTGAATAGTTTATGTAATATTTTCTCCCTCGGAGAAGTTACACCTGCAAAGTCTTAAAGCAAAATCTGCTGAACTTCAATCCTGAGTAGAGAAAATGCAAGCCAATAGAAGGATGGAATGATCCTTCCAATACGGAAGTTCCATATCCAACCCCAAAAGCAATACGGTCAACAACATAGTCACTCCAAAGAGGAAGTAGCAAATATCTCTTTATGCATGTCAAGCCATATTGCAACTATGTATAGAGAGTTTCACTTGTTAGCCCTCCCTATGCCTTGCTTTCAGTCAGAAATTCTAAGGCAGCCACATGTTTAAAAATAGGGAAGGTATATACTTACGATCTATTTTCGTTTACAACCTCTTATAATCACATTTCTGTCAATCAACGGTTATCATTTATTATGAATTAATAATTAATTAATAAATTTGATTTACGAAAATCTTAACCGTTGATTGACGAAAATCAAGAGTCAAGATATGGTTGTAAGAGATTATAAATGAAAATAGGTTGTAAGTATAACCTTTCCCTTAAAAATATATTTAAAGTAAGTGCATTTATATTGTAATCTTTACATCTTTACCACCCACCAAAAATGCAGTGGGGAGTAATAATACCCATTTAAAATAAAGGTTCATGATAAAAATAATAATAATAATAATAATAATAATAATAAAAGTCATAATTTGATATCATATCACAAGGGTGTGAAAACTTTCCTTATCAAATTTTTAAATAAATTTCAAGTATCTAGGACTACTGATTAAACAGGAACAACCCTTTAACAACTGATCCTCTAATATATTGTTAAATAAATTTCAGCACTCATATAAGTTATATTTAATTCAAGTATCTAATTCAAGAGTAAACACTCTCTTTTAAAAGCCAATTTGATGTCATATTTTAATTCATTTGATACTCAATGACCGTTTTAACTTTTGGAAAACAAAATTCACAACACTCGTGTTTTCTCGAGGTTCTATTTAATTTAAGAAATTATGTTTTCCGAAAAAAAGGTTTCATTTAGGTTTAAAATTTTCTATAATTATGAAAAGTAAAAAACCTATAAATTTTAGTCAACGAGGTGTAATTATCCTTTGGTTTTAATAACTGAATAATTTAAATTTAGACATTTATGTTGGCAAAAGATATATAACCTTATTGTAAATACTTGCCAAAATTGATGTTTTTTTTTTTACTAAAATTGATATTTTTTTAAGGATAAGATATTTGTCATTTTAAATGACATAAATTATTTCATTTTAAGAGAAAAATAAATACAAAATATAAAAATCATAGAAGAGAAAGTGAATGATTTTCTATTTAATTTACATATTACGTAAAAAAATTATTTTATATCTATTTTTTTCTTAAAATCATGTAACTTTTACGTCATTTAAAATGAAGTTTTTTTTTAAAACCTTTAGAATCGAGACAAATTCTTTACCCTAAACTTTTCAATTGAGAAAAAATCCCCAAATCTAATATCTAATTTTAAATGGCATATATGTGTAAATTCAGACTAATCCAAGAGGATATTGGGAGCATGGAAAATATGTGGTAAAGGTTTTTTTCCGTGAACCAAATGCATTTCCTACTAGTTTTTGTTTTGTCCTGCGAAGATCAATGTCTCAGTTTTTCAAGTTTCTCTTCAAACCTATAATGGGGTCTTGCTGAATGATCAACCAATAAAAATATCTGAGTCATTGTTGCGCAGTTTCATAAGAAAGGCACAAGCTTTAAGCGTAAAGCTTCAAACTTTCCAACTTGCAAGGAGAAATTAAGTAAAGGGTATGGCGCAATTCACTACGCAGGGTCGCTTAAAGCTACTCTTCAATGGGGAAGGTGTGTCATCTCTTTTGGAATACAAGGACCCTTTTCACTACAAGTGCAGATCAGTGCAAACCCACAAGAGAAGGCCAAGGCACATAGGTTCTTCCGCTAGAATTTACTATGCAACATCTCTGAGTGGCAAAACCAACCGTTGCAATGCTGAGGCACGCCCCACTGTTAGTAATGAGGGTATTCATGATTATTATGATGACGATAATGATGATGATGTGTTGGAGGAAGATGGCTTGTCTTGTTTCCGAGGTCTGGTGTTGGATATAGCATACAGGTCACTTTCTTTCTTTCAATATTTTGTTTCTTTTCTGCTATTGCTATGCATACCAATAATCTAAAGTTTACAACTTTTTTCCTGAGTAAGTATCATCTTGAGCACTTTACATTGTACAGGATTTACATTGGAGAATTTTCTTTTTCCTTATGGTAAAGGGGTGGGGATTGGGAAGGTTCATTTGGTTTTTTACAGTTTGTATGTTCTGATGTTTTTATAATTCATTTGCTGTTGTTTATTGACTCTGAACCTTTCTAGTTAGTTTTCTATTAAGTTTTTGGTAGGTTGTTGTATCACTCTAGGAAGACTGCAGGACTTAATGCTTTGGGAGCTTCATGCTAAGTTGTTATTTGTGATGTATTGGATTATTGGAGTGATGGTAATAATTCCTTTGTTAGAGGGTAGTCCCGTAGAAAGGTTATGAAAAGTGGTTGGGTTTGATTAATTACTAAAGAGAATGAATTCCAGCAGGCTCTTGAAGCCTGGTGTCTTCATGGCATAGTGCTGGATTGATTATGTGGATATATGTTTGACTTGAATCGAGGAAGAATTATTTGGTATTGTAACTGGAAAACGCAAATGAAGCTTGTCAATGTGAGTATTGATGTATAAATGCTTACTTCTGTCCTTTTAGTTTTTACTTAATCTACAAATATTATTTGCATATTTTAGCAAGAAGTGACCATTTTATAGCATATTTTTTCTTTGCTATGTCAAGGGGATTTCAGGATAATCACCCAGGACCGCCTTGCATTATTTGCAGGTTCTACACACTTGCGCGCGTGCTCACACTTGTGTTTCTCCCTATTCATTTCCAAATTATTTTTGTCAATCAAGATAAAACGAATATAAGAACCAAATTTGATAATGAGTTGGTTGATTATGCATGCTTTCAAAATTATATGTTGTAATTTCTACCTGCCAGTTTTATAAGTTATCCAGGATGAAATAGTGAATACTCTATAGCCTCTGTGTTTAGTGCGTGTGGTTTGATAATGAGTTGGTTGATTATGCATGCTTTCAAAATTATATGTTGTAATTTCTACCTGCCAGTTTTATAAGTTATCCAGGATGAAATAGTGAATACTCTATAGCCTGTGTGTTTAGTGCGTGTGGATAATATGAAATTGTAAGTTTGTAACATCTTATTTTCTCTTGTATAGTCACCAATATCAAGACACCTGCTCAGTTGTTTGCTTATGGTTCTGACTGCTGTCATCCTGCTACAGGCCAGTCAATGTCGTAGGCTGGAAACGTGCTATATGTTTGGAGTTTATGGAGAAGGTCAGAATTTTTGGCTCAAACTTCTCTTTTGTTATATCAATTACTGTGATACATGCAATTATGCTATTAATGTAATTTAATGTTTTCAGATTGACATGAATATGTGTAAAGTTTAACTAAACCTTAGTTGATACATAGCATGTGAATTAGTTACATAATATATTGTTGGGTAGTGTACTTGTTATTTTCTATAGCTCAATGTATCTGTCATTTCCATTTAGAAGTAAAGCGTATTTCTGACATAGCTTCACTTTGTTTGATTTGTAGTTGAATGTGTAATATAAATCTGTTTCATTTCCCAGGCCACAATGCTCAGTGTGCACATACAAAGACATAAACACAAATACCAATTCACAGCCATGACTTTTGACTTTCTCTTTCTAGTTTCTTCTTCTTTTTAAACAAACCCTGAAAATATGGTTATGAAGTTACAAATTACGATTTCAAATCTCGCTTTGTCCAGGCTGATGTACTAGAGTATTATGCTAAGACGGTGAACTCCCCCAGTGGATCTTTCTATATACCAGCTGTCTTAAGGGTATGCACACAGTAATGCTTTTGGTTTATTGATATTTCTGGCGCTTTATCGCCATTTTAGTAAAACCACTGACTCTACTTTTCTATCAGCATTTATATTGTTGTATTTTATCATAAAATGATATTTAACAAACAATTATTGCTGAAATTTTTCTTGTTATTTGTCTGCTCTAGTACAGATTAGCTCAACGTATCTTTATTTTGGTACAGGTTCCTCATTTACTTCAGGTTATTAAAAGAAGAATAGTCAAGAACACTCTTTGTCGGAGAAATATACTATTTCGGGACTATTACACCTGTCAGTAAGTACTCTATATTGAACTTTGATTTCTGATATATCTTGTTGAAAATATAGGGATTATGTATAAAGGGAGGAAAGGGAATATTCAGAATAATAAAATTATATTGATGTTGTTGTGAATGATGTGATACAAAAGACAAAACTCTAAACCTTATTTATAATTTTATACTAATGCTAGACTTCTAATCTTAATTAAATAAGGAAACAAATATGAAATATCATGAAATTTGAAAATAATTCCTAAGAGATCATCTAATATGCTCTAAAATATTGTAAGATACAATAATGATATTATAAGATATCTTCTAGATATTCTCACAGATCTAAATGTGTTTAATTCTGTCTCTCTATTCAACACATCCCCTTTTTTATATATTCATTGGATGGTGTTGTCAGTAGCCCAAGTCAAATAATCAATCAAGATTATCACTACTGAAGGAAATTCAGAGGTCTACATAACATAAAAGATTCAACCATGCCTTGTGACTGCAATATTTTTCTACTGAAACTCTATATCATCAGCATCGCACACAGGGCATTGTATTACTTCGATGGATGACCTATACGGTGTTAAGCGTTAACAACTTTGATAGGAACCAACTAATACCAGGAAACAGATTCTGATATAGATTTAGCAGATTCAATAGAATTCTGCTACCAAATTACAAACACCAACTTCTCAAGACAAGAAAGTTACAAATAAAAGAGTAAATCTGAGACAGGAAAAGAAAGATAACCCAAACAACCTTCAGAGCAATTCGAGGAGCTCTGTACTGTAACCCTCCCAATACAAGCCCAAATTTCCCAGAGTGCCTACTATCATACAACTTTCTCTATTTAACCACGGTGTCATCATGCATTCTGTTAGACACATCAGCATAGGTGCATTCTGCTAGACATTTTTGTCATCATGCATTCTGTTAGCAACTACATTCTCCCATAATAGCATAGGTGCTGACTCAGCAAGTGGGAGTGATTTCATGCATCTCTTCCTAGCATAAACCTTTAGGGGCCTAACAAATTTATTCAGGGACAAGCCTGCAAACTGAGCAAGTTGTGTAAAGCCAACTTCATGATAGGTTGAGACAAAAGCCCAACTGGCCATGCCTTCTGTTGTGCAATTTAAGCTAAAGCTCTCATTATGGTAATTTAAGCAGGATGCTGGTTGAGCTTGGTTAGGAAATCCTAGAAGTTGATTTCAAAAAAATATTATTATTCTCTTTTTGATATATAACCTTTGAGTTGAGCTTCGGTTGACACTTGACAGGACTATAACCTTAGTCCAGCTGAAATTTGCTTCTGGTTGGTGATGTTTTCTAACATAAAGTCCCTTCTTGTTTCCTAATCTCTAGTTAGGGATTGCCATATTATTCACTTCACAATCAATGAGAATATGCAAGTCGAAGCCATAAATGATTAAACATTAAGATTATAATTTAGATTTTGACAACTTCTTTGGGATGTAGGTGGATTTATGCATTTTCTATGTTGCGATTATGGTATTGGTTGGGATTATAGGTAATTTGGATGAAAATCCATGAAGGTTTAGCAAAGAAAATGAGATATCCTTTAAATTAGACTTTGTTTTTATGTATGCATTGTTATTTGTTCCTTATGGAAACCCTAAGCTAGCACTAGTTTGTTGCTTCTATAGCTGAGAATTGTGAATAATGGATGTAACAAGTCCTACGCAGGATCTTAATATTTCATTATATGGAGTAATTATCAGTCAGATAGAAACAGTTTCTTGGTTTTCATCTTTCATTATAGTCTTTCTATGAAATTACCAAAAGTAGAGGGATGCAATGGTGATATTGTCTTTTTAAATGATTAGGTTAGTTGAGATACAAATCCTTACACTGACATGAGATTACCTTCTCAACAGGTATTGCTCTTCGCATGATAATTTGACAATTGATCATGTGGTGCCCAGTGCACTAGGTGGAGAATGGAAATGGGAAAATCTAGTAAGATAATCTTTTTGCATTTAGAAAATACTAACTACTTGATTTATTGTTGTCCTATTTTTTTAAATTTGGTATGCAGGATTGTCATGATAATTACTTATTATTTCACAGTAGATTTTATTAAAACACTTTGTGGGAGTTATTGACAAGTATAAGGTTGTCATTTGATTGATCTCCATAAAACCTTTCTCCGTAGCTTTTACTGGAAAATCAGGAGTTGAGTTATTGTCAGAGGCATTGGTTGCACAATTCATTGGTTTATAAGATTAGGATGAAGAACAAAATTATAGACTGAGAGAAGGCTTAAGAAAATTTCTGCGCATAGATAGCTGAAGATAGATTTATAGATGATGATACGAGGAGCGATTTAATGACTATCATTTGCCTCTTCTTGGGCAGGTTAACCTTAAATACCATTTTTTGGGGTTGATTTTTTACTCTTCTTTTTTGTTATGGAAGAAAAGAACCACCAAGCCTAAAGTAGTAATTCTAGTTGACTGAAAAGCTCAATTAAGATTTGAGCCATAATAATGCAAGTAGAAATATAAAGCTTCTGTTAACATGATTAATGTACATAATTATATGCAAACAGAAGTGATGTTGACCTATGAGAATGCTTAAAATGAGTATTCACTTTGATTTCAATTCTGGAGTCTAGATTAAAATTAGTATCCACTGCTTTTCTCTTTACTACCATCATAACTCCTACACTTGAATGAAGAGTTTCTTCTGGCTAAGTTCTTAATTGAATGAAGGAGGGAAGAGAATTGGAATCGTAAATCCAAAGCCCATCTTCCTGTTTATAATGTGTAAACAATCAATTTTCACTTGATATAGAACTCTCATACGGTAATTGCTGATGATAGGTGACTGCTTGTGACAAATGCAACTCAAAGAAAGGTAAAAAAACTTTAGAGGAGGCAAAGATGAAGTTGATTAAGGTCCCAAAGGTACTGCCTACTTAACTGACTACAAGTATATTCTTTCTTCATATGATGTCTTGGAATGAAAGGGCAACATGATGGCTACCAAGAAAGGGTTGCAAGCCAATGTTAAAGTTCCAACTTTCAATTACATTTATTAATTGAAGCATACTACCTATTTCAACAGATAAATTTTCAATACTCCTGTAGAACTGAGTACTCTGTGTTACACTCACTAAAATTAGAAAAACATTACATTTTCTCCATCCACTTTTTTTTTTTATTAATGCCACGTGAGGCCATTTATTTCTAATTTTAGCAAGGGAGTGTGTACTTCAGGAGTATTGAAAATTTACTCATGTTTCAACATATTCATGGTTTAATGTTTCCTTTTCTCAAGAATCTTACTCTTGTTATTCAGGCCCCAAAGGAATATGACATTCTTGCCATACCTCTTACTAGCGCAGCTCTAAGAATGCTAACAGTAAGAAAGGGAACACCTGAAGAATGGCGTCAGTACCTAAGGTCCTCTTCAGAATCATGAGTTAATCTTTGGTGGTAGTGGTTCATTCCTGTATGTCATGTCATACACACTAAATTTCTCCTTGCTCACCCCAAAAAAAATAATAAAGAAAAAAATTGTCATCACTATTTTAAGTAACTTCAATTTAATAATAAAAAGTTCATTGTGAACAGTGTTCTTTAATCTCAGTGATTGTGTAAATTTTATGTATAACAAATTCCTGCCTAATTTGTATGTTAAAATTGCCAGACCTCTTAACCTGGTCTTGGTTTTGTAGCTGCTTGTTGGCACATGGATTAGAATCTTGTTATTTGTAGAATCTTGTTATTTGTAGAATCTTTATTTGGTAATAATGAACTCCAAAAGAAAATCATGATACTGAAATGTTTCTATGTCATATTTATTTGTTATTCAGTGAGTCTAATATCTAATGTTAAAGAAATGTTGGTATATAGACATTTATTTTGTTGGAAAAATTCAAGTGTGAGTCGTGTGAGGTCTCACATTAGTTAGATATAAATCAAGTGCAGATTATATAAGTACAAAAGACCCATAGACCTATAACTTTAAAGTTTTGGGTCAAGATGCGGTGTTATGAACTCACTTCTTATGGTTTGTTAGTTGGTCCATTGGTGGAGGTATCTTTTCCAAAAAAGTTTTAGGCTTTCCCGCACCATTCGGACATTTTTATATGAGATTGTAAGTTGTTGGAGTATCTTTTTGCATGGGAATTTAAAAATCTCATGCTAGGAATATAAGATCTGACAATTCAAAACTGTCAAAAGCATTTAATAAATGTTTAACAATTTGGAGATCTTAAATTATGATCCATCCTACGTTCTCATGTTTTAGTACAATGTCTAGTCTTGCAAAGTATCAAATTTTCATTCATACAAAATGCCCCCTAAATTTTGTATTTAAGCCTAGTAGGAGTCTTCGGGTACTGGACATAGTTCTCAGTTTGAATGGAGCAACATATGTCAATCTGCATATAACAATCAATTTTCTTCTTTCTTTATTGACTATTATGCATTAGTACCTTAATGGAACTAACACTTGACACCTGTAGGAATGCCATTTACATTCTCATGTATTTGTGAGGCTAATACAAATTAAAAGTTGGCACTTTGCATACATACAAGTGAGGTAACTTGAAGTGACCTTCAAGTAACATTACTCATATTATTAATCATAGAGTCGTGCATCCTGTGTGGAGAAAATGGCAAGGTAAAATAATTTCACACACCACTTTGTGCATTACTAAAGCGGTGTACAAAATCTAACGTGGGTTCCGTGTGGGTTTTGAAAGATGAATGTGGCAAAGGACATTGGAGTTTAATGATGGATCATGAAAAGGAATCCATCCTTATCCCTACATATTCATGGGGTGGGGGGATGTTCGCCTTTACCACATTATTGTTTATTCAAACACCTTTCCTATTCACCTTTCACGCCTCATCAGATGAAATTATTGCTTGCAATGTCTTTTCTTTTTCTTTTTCTTTTTTTTCCCTCTCTCGGTTGATTAATCGATTACCTGACTAATTTGATTCGAGTTCGATTGGATCCTTATATGGATGACTTTCCAAGAAGAATATTTATCCATTCTTAAGACTCAAACTTGAGACCTTTAGTTAAGAGGATCAATTTCCTTAATCACTTAAACCAATAATTGGGGTGTTCTTCAATCAAACTAGGAAATAGTGTTCCCTTCATAATTTAGCTGTGTTTTTTTTTCTACCGATTCAGGGTAGTCATAAACATGAAGTTAGGGATTGTCTTAAGCCATAAGAGAGAGTGAGAGAGAGCATAAACCCAAGTCAAAGCATGTGTGGTCACATTTATGGGACCAACTGTTCTTGTGACCATAACATAGTTGCATCATTGCATGCATCAATGGGTGATAATACAAGAATGGGTATATTATTGTAATGGTTGAAAGACCCTTTGATTTAGACAGCAGAGCATGGGAAGATTTTAATTGAAAAGAGACCAAAGGTTCATTGATTATGTGCCTATGTACAAGGCCATGGGATTTGAGGACTAAGGGTTATCTAAATTATTATTCATATGCAGTTCGTTTCGTTATTCTTTCGGCTCTGTTTCAAGCTGCTTCTTTCAATATCATTTCATTTTCAATTAATTACTCATCCAACATTGGACCCACCATAAGATTCATCATTCACATATTGGGGAAGTATTTACGCTTTTGTTTAATTCTTTTGTTGTCAAGTAATCAGAAACCATATCGTCAGTGGGGTTTTGGCGGTGATTTTTGTTCTCAATTCAAAAATGCATTCATTCTTTACTTTGTGAAATTTCTTTTAATTTACCTCTGAAGTTAGTTTTTAGTTATTTGTAATTTTATACAACACTTCAAAATTGCAATTTACAGTTAGAGAAAATAAAAATCTAATTTTCTAAATTTTTAAATGAGCAATATTACAGGAATAACATAAGGGGCATTCGGCAATATTAATTTCTATTGGTATAAAAAAAAAAAAATTTACTCGAGTTATTGGTCAAGTGGTGGGACAATGACCAAAGTGTCATATTTTTCATAAAAAATTACTTGAATGCCACATTTTGCAAAAAAAAATTCAAAATGCCACATCATCTAACTCGTTACAACACTTGGCGAGTTAAGTGTTGACACGTGACAGAAGGTACATGGCTAGGGGTGTAAATATAGCGGCTAGGCTAGGCCTTAATTTAAATAGGTCAAGCCTGTGTAAAAATATATTGGGTTTGGCCTGACCTGTTAGCCGGTGTTAGCTTCAAATTACAAGTTTGGTCTGACCTATATTTAAAAAATAGAGTAAATACTCTTTTTGATCCTCAGCAAATTTCACGATGCCCGCTTTAGTTCCTAGCAAATAAAAAGGCTCATCGTGGTGCCTAAGAAATTCAAAATGGACCCATTTTAGTCATTTTAGGGACTAATATGGGTCTTTTTTGAATTTATGAGGACCACGATTTCACCTTTTAGGGACTAATATGGGTCTTTTTTGAATTTATGAGGGACCACGATTTCAACTAAATGAGTCTATTTTGAATTTCTTACGGACCACAATGGGCCTTTTTATTTGCTAGAAACTAAAATGGGCATCGTGAAATTTGCTGAGGACCAAAAAGGGTATTTACTCTAAAAAATAAAAGCTCTGGCCTAGGCTTGTTAGCCTGTTTAAGCCTATTAAACCTTCAACAATTAAAAGAAGGATTTAATGTTTCTAAAGTGAATGTAGATAAGTTACCTACATTCACTCTCAAAACGACGTCATTTTGGATTTAAAAATTAAAAGTTATAATAAAAAAGACTATTATAACCCTGAAATAAATTATAATTACAAAAATACCTTGATTTCTGCCTCAAAACGACGTCGTTTTGGGCTCACTGTAGATAAATTATCTACATTGACTGTAGAAAAAGCGAACCCTTAAAAGAATATCTAAAATAATAGTACTTTATTATTCAAAATTATTAAAATAATAATTTTATTTAGTTTATTTAAAATAAATAATATGATATAGGCCTGCCTGTAAGCTTATAGGCCCGACATGTACAAAAAAAACCTATGACCTATTTTTTAAATAGATTTTTTTAAAAGACTAGGTCTGTTCTATTTTATTATTTATAATAGGCCAAGTCTGACCTAATATAGGCTAAGCCATAGGCCCCTGTAGGCTGGTCTAGCCCATTTACACCCTTATGCATGGCCACGTAAGTCACTGCGCAATGCAACAACATTACGTGGCATCAAACATGCTATGCAGCATAACATGTTTAGTTATCTTTTCTGACACGTGGCAAACATGCTATGCAGTATAGCATGTTACGTGTGTGTCATGAAATAATTAACGCTCCTAAAAATAATTAATTAATAGCTATAAATAATTTAAATTAATTATTTTAGCTTCAAATGTGGCATCAAACATTTATAACTGTTGATTAATTATTTTTAGGAGTGTTAATTAATTTTATTTAATTTTGTTTAATTTATGTTAATTTTTTTTGAACTGTTAAGTAATTTAATTTAATGAATTAAATGTAATTTATATTTGTTAATTATTTTAGTTTAATTAAGTCTATACTAATTTAAATTATTTATAACTATTAATTAATTATTTTTAGGAGTATTAATTAATTTCATTTGATTTAGTTTAAGTTAAGTTAATTTTTTTGAACCATTAAGTAGTGTAATTTAATTTAGGAGTGTTAATAAATTAATATAAATTATGTTTGTTAATTAATTTTATTTTATTTTATATTAATAAAAATTATTTTATGACACACACGTAACATGTTATGCTGCATAGCACGTTTGTCACGTGTCAGAAGTTGACTAAACATGCTATGTTGCATAGCAGTTTGATGCCACATAATATCGCTATACTTTGCAACGACTTGCGAGACCATGCACTTTCTGTCACGTGTCAACACATGACTCGTAAGGTGTTGTAACGAGTTAGGTGACGTGGCATTGCGGAAATTTTTTTGCGAAGCATGTCATTAATGTAATTTTTTGCAAAAAGTGTGGCACTTTGGTCGTTGTCTCTCAAGTGATAATTTAGCTAGACCTCGAAAATTGACCTACCTAAAGAATAGTGGATTCGATTCTTATTGATTATCTTTAGGGAAATACATTTCTCATTTTACATAAGATAGTTATCTCATTTTCTCTCACTTCGAAAATCGCACTCCTTCTTTTTTTTTCTTTTTGCTTTTTAATGATGAGTCCCACTTGGATTCTCTCTATAGCATGAGAAAACTACTCTCATATAACATGAGAATAATATTCCCCTTATTTTTAATATGAATCATGTATTACCTGCATTTAGTTTAGCTTTTTTTTTTCCTTACATAAACTTTATTTTTAATGCAATTCTCCTAAACTATAGTAAAAAGTGTAATCTTACTTTTTCTGTCAAAGTTAGCAGTGGCACAATTAAATTTCACTTGCTTCTCACAGAGTCAGCATTATTATGCTTCTTACACCCTTAGTTAGGAGGTTGTGTTAAAAATAAAGTTTATGTACGAAAAGGAAAAATATGTTAAATTACATTAGGATAAAGTGTAATTTGCATTTAAACTTATGTCCTCTTCGAATTCTTGAACTTCCCCTCCCTCCCCCTCCAAGGACCACATTTGAAGTCACTCAAACTTGTCAAAAGCTAAAAGATTTTGGAAGAATCTGAATGTTAAAACATTTTTGAAAAAACTGATGAAACTGAATACGCAGTGCTTGTACCAGTCTGCGCCCTGGCTTCTTTGGACTCTTCCAATGCATCTTTTGAGAGGTTTGCAAAGAAAAAGTGAAAGTGGGACCTTTACTAGTTACTTCTGTCTGCAAAGCTAACTGCACCCCAACACTCAAATATCTCATTTAACCTAAAAAAAAGGGTAAAACTTCCAATAACAAAACTTGTAAACTTTTTTGCTTATTAGAGAAAAGAAAATTTTAGTTTATTCTATTTATATGCCAGAGGAAGAAAACATCAAAGGGAAGAACAGAAGTGGAAAATGTAGAAGGTAAGTAAGGTATAAATAAATAAAAGGTTAATCTTTTCTCATGTTATATGTTAAAAGTTTTTTTTTTTTTGAATTCCCACCCCTACATTTTTTTTTAAACTTGGTGGGTCAATCATGTGATGTTTGTTACATAAGAAAAATCTTCTCTAGGTGAGAAAAGATTAACCCATAAATAAATGACGTTTTGGGGTAAACAAGGTTAATGTAGCATGAGTGATGAGAGATAGTGATTTGTGTATATCTTCATGAGATAGGGATGTTAGCTTTCTCTCACTGTTTGATAAATTTGATTTGTTTTCTTTTGCTTTTAACCTTTTATTTTATCTGCCGACAAAAAACCAAGGGCCATAATAATAAAGAGAGCACTGAGACAAAGGTTGAGTTGTGACTTGCAATACCAATTTTGACTTTCTTTCTCTCTCTTTTTCCCTTTCAAAATCATATACTCTTTGAGTTATAGCCTTATGAACATGGATGTGTGCCAAAATGTATCAGTTTCCGGCGAGTGCAAGCAAGAGAAGGTCCTTACCCCTTCTTGCTCAAAGCTTTCTACCTTCTCAAGCAGCCTTGATGACCTCTTCTCTGCTCAGAACACGGTTTGTTTGTTTCACTTTAATGTTGGCTTGTTTAAGCAAGTTCTACCATGAGTTTTTCTTTCTTGGTTTTGAGAAAGTGATTCCTTTGTTTTGGTTAACTATATCTTTACCAAGCTTTTAGCTTTAATGTTATGCTGCTTTATGATAAGTTTCTTGGTGTATTTAAGTGTTAGTATTCCTTAATTTCTGTCTTATTTTTTACTACTAAAATTTGCATTCTTTGACCAAAAATATGTGCAGGAAGTGGATGTTGGCTTGGAATGGCTTTCAGTATTTGTTGAAGACTGTTTTTCCAGCCCCCCAAGTTGTGTCTTGGTACCTAATGGTGTTAAGACTACAAGCACAAGCACAAGCTCCAAACCTTCAGGCACATTGCAGAGAACCCGGAAAAATGAGTCACCTTTGCAAAATTTTGCTGTGCCTGGGAAGGCTAGAAGCAAAAGGAAAAGGCTTTCAGCTCCTAGAACAAAAGACCCTTTAAGCATATGGTCACGCCATTTAAACCCACAAAATGAAGCCTTGAGTTCTGACCCTCCTCTTCTCAAACAGGCTTATTGGTTGGCTGATAGTGAACTCATTGTTACTAAACAGAAGGAAGAGAGTGAGGGGATCAAAGAAGAAGAAGAAGTGGTGGAGAAGGGGATTGTGAGCAAGGAAAGCTTTGTGGACTCTGAGAGTGAAGTTAGCAATGGTCAACATCCAATGCCAAGGAGGTGCACACATTGCCTTGCACAGAGGACCCCACAGTGGAGGGCAGGACCCTTGGGTCCAAAGACACTATGCAATGCATGTGGAGTGAGGTACAAGTCTGGTAGGTTACTACCTGAGTATAGGCCAGCCAAGAGTCCTACTTTTGTGAGCTACTTGCACTCCAATTCCCACAAGAAAGTTATGGAGATGAGGATGGCTGTTCCTTCTTCCATTCCTAGTGAGCAGTAGTGGTTACTATATATTTTTTATGTAAATCAAACTTCAAAATTTAGGAACAAACTATTTGGAAACATAGATACTACTATTAAGGGTAGTGATTAGTCTATGATTTTAGGCCCATTTATATGGCTTAATATCCAGTTTCAGTTTTTCCTTCCCCTCTTTAGAGCTTATATGCATTGCAATCTTATTAAGAGTAAGTAGTATTTTTTTTACTTATTCCAAAAGGAATGTGCATGTCTAGATAAACCTTTGTGCCTTACCCCTCATATTTTGTTATTTGTTCAATTGATACTAAGGTATTTTTTCAAATTTCGATCTAAAGATTATGCTAGTAGTTGAACTCAGAAGCAACTAAATAGGTAAACTGAGTATAGATATCAGATAGATTATAGAACCAACAAGGGTATATACATTATTGTCAGAGATGAAGGCTGTGCCTATGACGTTGCCTTGACTTTCCCCTTCTTTCTCATTTTTCCTCTGGTCATTTTTACCTTTGAATAATAACAATGTCATTAATTTTGTTCCACTGGGTATCATATGCTGTCAGCAAAAGCATGTGGGAGTGGTCATTATTTATATATACTTGGCAGTTGGCATGCATTATCACAGAGAAGATAAGATAATTCATTACATTATGTACATGCACGTGACTTTCAAATTCTCTAGACTTTTTTAACTCGGAAAAAGATAAAAAAAAAACAAAAAAAAAAAGTAAATACCTTTTTAGTCTCTAACAAAAAACGCGCGGTCCTCACTTTAGTCCCTTACAAAAATAAATTAGTCAGTTAGTCCTTAACAAATTCAAAGTGGACCTATTTAGTTGAAATCGTGGTCCCTCACAAATTCAAAAAAGACCCATATTAGTCCCTCAAAAGGACTAAAATAGGTTCACCTTGAATTTGTTAGGGACTAACTGACTAATTTATTTTTGTAAGGGACTAAAGTAGGGATCGTGTTTTTTTTGTTACGGATCAAAAAGGGTCTTTACTCAACAAAAAAAAAATTCCTCAAATTTCATTGTTTTCTTCTTCTGCACTTGTTTGATTTGATTCTATGTATAAAAACTAAAACTAAAAATGGGCATACATGGGAAACAGATTTTTTAAAGAGATTCTTCTTGTCGTATTCCTCTCCATTATATTCAAACCTCTTTGGAACCAAGCTAAAAAAATAGAACATATGACAATTGATAAATATTTTGTGGTAAAATAGTCATTATTCAAATTGATTAATTATTCAACAAGTTGGAGCTTATGAGATTGAGGAGATTAAGGAGATCTACTACTCCTAAGTTAAGGTTTCAAATTGTTTGAGAAGTATAAAAATTATTAATATAGTCTCACTTAACAATTTAAGTTTTTGAATTGAATTGACATTTTATATGATACTAGAGCATCGTGTCACGAGTTCGATCCTCATCGCTCCTATCTAATTGATAGTTAATTAAATTTTGTGGAGTTTTTTAGTACAGGTAAGTGGGTCTATATACTACTCACCCTTCAAGTGGGTTTTCATGTAAGAGAGCATATTAAAGAAGTATAAAAATCATTAATATAGCATCGTCCAATAACTTAAAATTTTAGATTGAATTGGTGCTTTAACAAATATTAATCTAAAGAATTGCAAGGGAATTTCAATTGAAAAGTAGTGTAAGTCGACAATCTACTATTGACTTTGTTTAACCTTATTAGAATGGTATTTTAAGAGATTCTAATTAGAAGGTTAGGAAAGAAAGGAAAAGGATGTGGTATCATGAGATAACGGGCTAGTTGGACATTTTTTAACCTTTTCTAATTTTCGCATTTTGGTGTGTAACTTTAGTGGTTGTGGGGAGTGTAAAGGAGAGGTAATGAAACATCGTCATCATGTTCGGTGAAGATTTATTCATGGTACTGCGAGACAGATCCACGCAAATATGCATTATCTTTATCTTTGCTTTGTTCATTTTCAAATTTCAATAATCAATAATAATGTCATTCTGGAATTCTTACAAAGGGACCTAGTAAGCAAATAATTGATACTATTTATTTTGGTGACTGGGTGGGGTTATTTATACTCTAAAATTTTTTACTCATTCATTAATAGATCAACAGTAATAATTTTAATGATAAAGTTCCTGAAATAAAAAAGGAAATTTTTATTGTAATTGTTAACCTTTAATTAATTAATAAATGACTACATTTTTTTATATGATTTTGTAATATTAAAATGAGAGAATTTGTTCCTAATATTAATGTACATTCTTTAATTTTTGTGAGATGATTTGGTTGACAAAACCTCTTTTAAGTTTTAATGACTTGTCCAATCCCAATAAACAAACCTCGTATTTAATATGCACATACTAAACAAAATAAACTTGAGAAAAATTTATTTTTCATTGATAAAAAAAAGTTGAATTTGGCAATAAAATAGAATAAATGAAAAATACATATTAAAAACTTCTTATTTTTTTAGCTTAAATAAGATAAAATTAAATAAAAAAAAACCAAGTAGAAAGAGAGTTTCTCTCTATTTTTGGTTCGCATAATAATTACATGATTAAGAATGTTATTTATATCAATAGAAAAACTAAACTTCGATTAAATAGTCAAATATAATTGACTATAAAAAAAGTTTGACTTAAGCTAATAAAGGATATTTTAGATAATTAAAGTTATTAGTAGTTAAAAATAAAAATAATAAATAATTAGAGTTCAACTAACTTTATTTTTTTTATTAGAATGAGGATGAAAGGGATGTAAATTAAAGTGTTTTAGTAGACAGGCAGTCATAGTTATGAAAAGAGATTGAATACTTCTTAAAACATCATTTTTTTTATAAATGTGAAATTGAAAGAAACCAAAGCTTTAATTGTAAGTTAAGTTTAACAAAATTATTTTGGACTAGGGGTGTAAATGGGTCAGGGTAGGCTAGGCTTTACCTTAAATAGGTCAGGCCTGTGCAAAAAGTATTGGGTATGACCTGGTCTATTAGCCTGTGTAGGTCCCACATCACAAGTTTGGCCTGACCTATATTAAAAAAAAAAGCCTTGGTCTAGGCTTGTTAACCTGTTTAAGCCTATTAAATATTTAACAATTAACAGAATAACTAAAATAATATTATTTTATTATTCAAAATTATTAAAATAAAATTTTATTTATTATATTTTAAATATATAATATAATATAGGCTGGTCTGTAGGTTTATAGGCCATACATGTATAAAAAAGTCTATGGCCTATTTTCTAAATAGATATTTTTAAAAGCTTAGGTCTGTTCTATTTTACTATTTATAATAGATCAAGTCTGGCCAAGTATAGGCTAGGCCGTAGGCCCCTGTAAGCCGGCCTAGCCCATTTACGCCCCTATTTTCGACCGAACTGTTAAAAATTTTAAATTTATTTGAATTGTTTTGTTAGATATCTCTTTGTCCAACTCGAACCCCATTTCCTCTTCTCTTAGAGGAACAGTGACCATTTTGTCACGCTTGGCAAAAAATTTTTTCAAACTGTCACGCCAACAGTAAATTTTGTCAAAATGTCACGCGGCATATTTCGCTACACTGTGTAGCGAAATATGTTTGCAAGTAATTCGCTACACAGTGTAGCGAAATATGCCACGTCAGAATGCACAGAACCAAAAATGCCACGTGTCAAGCAGACAGAATTCAAGCATAATTCACTACACAGTGTAGCGAATTTCTGCCTGGTTGACACGTGTCATTTTTTGCTGACTGTGCATTCTGACATGACATATTTCACTACACTGTGTAGTGAACCGCGTGATATTTTGATAAAATTTACTGTTAACGTGACAGTCTGATAAATTTTTTTGATAAGTGTAACAAAATGATCACTCTTCCTCTGTCGGAATACATCCCTTTGGGTGTTCCCTAATTCCACCATAATATCAAAACTTGCAGCCATTATGGCATTATTCTCTCTTTCTCCTTGATTTGCCATTTCATTTTTCGAGGTTACTAGTTACTTTATTTTTTTTATTTCTAATTATGTTGAATAAAAATTTCTCCAGTAATGAGTTATATAATTTTTATAAAGATATTAATTCAAATTGTTGTTTTTATCAAAATATTCCAAAGAATCCTATGGTTCCTACTTCCAAATCTAAGCCGACATTGTTTTGACACATCATGCACCATGCACCTGACATCAACCTGTTGGAGATTCGCGCCCTTAAGATTTAAATGACTTCTATCCACAATTTTTAATGTTAAAGCAATATCGATCAAGTAACAGTTGAATTGCTGCGTGAGAGTGAAATAAGTAAGATTAAGAGTATCTCTTGAATTCTTCTCAATATTACATTTAGAAAGAATTTAAAATTTTAATTTTAAATCAATTTCAAATTAGACTAATCATGAAGCGATGAATTGATTAGAATATTTAAAAAAAAAACAATATCCATCGAATACCCCACTATTCTTAAAGGGAAATTATACTCTTATGTCACATAATACTCTTCTCTCATTTTACACTCACATAAAAAGACGTGCCTCTCTTTTCTTTCTTTTATCTTTTTTTAAAAATTAGTGGACCCCACTTAATTTATCTCACAACATGAGATAACTTCTCTCATACAATATGAGAAAAGTAAAACCCATTCTTAAAATTTAAATTTAAATTTTTGAGGTTTAGTCAAAGATGGAACCACTGATTATACGGCTGTCTTTGTCTATTCATATGTACTAAAGTTACAACTTTTACACCACCCAATTTGTTTATTATTCATTAAAGATAGAAAAAAAATAATTCACTTAATATTATTTGTTATATTCCTTCTTTCATGATTAATGTCACGTGAATTTTATTTTTTATTACTTTAAGTAAAAGAATACATATTACAGGAGCACGAAAAATGTGCTCCCAGCACAAAAGGAATATAATACAAGCATATCACGAAGCAGAATGACACTGTTGTTTATAGAGCTCTTAAGAATCTGAATAATTAAAAAGATGTTTAAATGGAGTCTAATTATTGGTAACAATAGTCAAAAAAAAAAAAGTAGAATGAGAATTTATAATCACTTTATAAAGAACAACAGCTAGGAAAGTGTAAATGCAACGTGTATCAATAGTAGTGGTATTGTTGTGGGACAGAAGTCACATGAGCCAAATGGTGGTGTTAAGAATGGAGTGTAAAGTTGGTAAGTGTTGGGGGGATGCATGATTGTGACTAGAAAGCCACCTCTCTATTTGTAAGAGCTTCAATTTCTTTGTCTGCCTCGTCAAAATTAAATGGTCCCACCATAAAATATAAGGAATCACATGAATGAGAGAGAGCAACATGTGACTAAACATAAAGTGCGACTACATAATACAGAGCTGGGTTTGCATTCATGGGTGTGAATGTGAACAGAGTTAGCACCGTTCAAATATAACGGCTTAAAGGGTTAATTGTCATGCTATGTCCATAAATCAAGTTATAAGGCATATTCTTTTAAGGGTTTTATAAGAGTTATATTGTAGGAAAAGTGATTCTGTAATATTATAAAGATTCTTTTTGCGTGTCGTAATTTCTTTTTTTTCTTTTTCTTTTTTTTTTTTTTCTTTAAAAAGTGTGGGTTCCACAAAATGTTATGTGTGTAGAAAAATTTGTTGTGTCATGTTAAATGACAAATGCAAACTCCTTTCTTTAATATTGAATTTTTTTGGTTTATACGTATTTTTAGGACAAAAGCAACTTCTTACTTATTGTATTTTATTTTATCTTTTTAATTTAAAGTTGAGAAATTGGCTTGAGTTTTTGAAATTATCAACTCTATTTATTAAATTTAAGTACATTAAATTAAAATTAAATAACTTTCTTTTACTAATCTTCTTTTCTCATTATTAACTTTTAAAAAAAAAATTATAAACTCCCTTTCCATTTATATAATTAGGTGTATTTTTTTTTCAATTTTTCATTAATTACTGACTTATGCGGTTGAGAAAGATCTTCTCTTTGGATACCCATCATTTTAATGTTTAGCATCGTGGCTTCTTGTTCCGTTGAAAAAAAGCCCTTTGGTTTTTCCATTGTTATTGATGACTCTGCTTTTCCGTTATTATGATGTATGAAACGTGGTGTGTTTTTAAATAAAATAAGTTATTTAGATATTAAAATTAAAGTAAATATCACTTTTGGTCCTCAGCAAATTTTACGATGTCTGTTTTAGTCTCTAGTAAATAAAAAGGCTCATCGTGGTCCCTAAGAAATTCAAAATGGATCCATTTAGTTGAAATCGTGGTCCCTCACAAATTCAAAAAAGACTCATACTAGTCTCTCAAAAGGACTAAAATCGGTCCATTTTAAATTTCTTAGGGACCACAATGGACCTTTTTATTTGCTAGGGACTAAAGCTGGCATCGTGAAATTGTGAAATTTGCTGGAGACCAAAAAGGTATTTACTCTTAAAATTAACAAATATTTTTTGTAAACTTACTGGATATGTGATAGTAGTGGTGATAGTGAGGTAGAGTGGTTGAAGTGGGGTTGGGGTAAAATTAAATTTTTCAAAAAAATATTTAACTTTTTTTTTTTTATAAACCACAGGTATTTTTTATGGATGGTTCTAGAATTAAAACTTTAAACTTCTCCAAAAGATGTTATCAAAGAGAATCAAACACATACTTTTATCTTCACCTGCTAAGCTCTCGTTCGTCAACTAAGCTATCATCATTTGATAAAAATATTTAAGTTTTTAACTTCTGTATTTTTTAGATAAAATTAGATTTTTTAAAAATATTTCTTTTAACTTTTTTTTAGAAGCAATAAATTCTGACTTCTAAAAAAATTACAATTTTAACTTCTTTCTTTTAATTCTTCTTTTTCTAAAAATTGTTGTCCAAACACATAAAATATTTCTAGAAAAAAAAAAGTCTATAGTAACCACTTAGAGGAGTACAATTCAATACTTTTATTTGTTTTTTTTTTTATCACTCCTTGATGCCGAAAGCGTTTAAAAAATTGGCTAAACAGAAAGTTGAGATTTTACAAAAGATTTATCCTCTAGTTGTCAACTTCTAATTATCAAAATAACAAAATTCAACTCTACAATAAGGATCATAAGTATCCTTTTATAAATTAATTACAAATTGATCTAAAATTCAAAATATAAAATCCTAAAAATAAGAAACTTACTAAAATAAATATAATAGTTATTAACTTTTAAAAATAAATAAATAATTACAATTAAATTATACAAAACACGTCCCAAATCTTTGATCTCAAATGTGTTGCTTTTCTTTTCTTGCCAAACAAATCACAATCAAATGTGTTGCTTTATTGAGACTTTCATTTTCTTGCCAAACAAATCACAATCAAATGTGTTGCTTTATTGAGACTTTCATTTTCTTGCCAAACAAATTACAATCAAATGTGTTGCTTTATTAAGACTTTCTATTTTTTGCCAAACAAATCACAATCATATTTGTTTCTTTATTGGAACTTAAATTTAATCGTAATTTGTTATATTTCAAATCACTGCTTCTTTCAGCAATCGAGTCATACTTATTGGGTCATAAATCTAGTTAATCGTAAGTGCATCACTCTTTCTTTCTTAGAAGTTTATCTATGATAAATCTTTATCCCATAATGATCTAGATTTTTTGTTTTATTTTTATTTTTCTCTCCTACACACATCAAAGTGTAAAAGATCTAATTTTTCTTTCTTTCTTTTTCTTTTCTTTTTCTCAAAATGGGTCTAATTCATTTCAACAAGGGCCTACTAACGATGGGTCTACTAATAGAGGAAATGGGCTCAATTCTTTCATAACAAGGCCCAACATAACCCCATATTTTAATATATTTTTTTGGTATAATCCCTATATAATTTTTACATGTATATAGAAAATAATTTTATTTAAAAAAATTTAAACCCTTTGTTTTGCGAGAAAAGTGTTTATCATTTTAAATAACATAAAATTATGTCATTTTAAGAGAGAGATAGACACAGAATAAATTTTTGTTTTGCTTGGTTTTCCCTGCAAAATTATGTTTTGCGTGGACGTTTGCTTTTTCATTGGAAGAATGTGGCCCTTAAGCACACATTAACTGAAACTTTTGGACCAAAATATTGAATTGAAAAAAATAAAGTACATTTAGTATCTAATTGCTGAATGAAGCACGTTTCTAGCTATCAAATAGAGAATTCCACAAAAGACCTAGGAGGACACCGAAATCATATAACCTTAATATACGTTAGCTGCCCATTAAAAAGATAGTTCAAGTGATCACTGACCACTTTGTAATAATTGGGTGTCTCCATTGAATTACTAAATAAAAAATAAATGTATAAGCAACTATCTGAGCTATCCTCAATCTGTGAAGATATTTTATTAAATGAATTTGTAAAACTAAATATCATCCGAACTATGTCCAAGGAAATTGATGAAACCATAAACTTAAAAAAAAAAAAATAAATAAATAAAAAAAAATAGCATCTCTAATGTATGTACAAGAAAAATCTACCAAAACAGAATTATGAATAAAGTCATAAATAAGAAAGCTACAAATGATGGCATCAAAGGAGAGGATGAAGAAGGAACTATCTGAATGATAAAATTGCAAGTTGGTGTTGAAATGTTGTTTGTGGTAAGCTTGGCTAAACCTTGAAAATTGCAGGCCGAGGGATTCTGATTTTGCACTTGGAAGTACATATTAAATGCATAAGAGGCATTCCCATTAGCATCCAAATTATTGCAAGAAGATCCATACCCAAGTGCAGTGCAATCTCCAAAAGTGCAAGCATAGTTTATATTATCTGCTAGTTTGGTGAGATCCTTGGCATCTGGATTAAACATGCACCACCTTGGAGCAAGATACTTCACACCTTGTGCACCTATGAGCATCTTGTTTTGACCCTGACCAGAAATATCCATTGGAAACTTGGGTTGCCCATCATATCTAAATATTCCCCAGTGACGTTCAAAGTTTCCTGGAGCAATGCTCTTAGCATCCTCATCAATGAGTCCAAATAGATACACTTCAATGAATCCGGGGCGGCGCGGTGTTCCTCTATTTGCTGCAAGCCTTGGAAGAAGTCCATTATAGAACCTTAATGCATTGCCTGCATTGGCATTCTTGTCACCTTCTGTAGGCCACCCTACTTCTCCTACCAAAATGGGCATGTCCCCATATCCCACTGCTTTGAGAGCAGAAACCAAAGTATCAAAATTTGCATCAAAGACATTGGTGTATAGGACCCCATTATCGTTTATGGGGTTGTCTACCCCATCAAAGAAGGCATAGTTGAAAGGAAAATCATCATTCCCATAAAGACTTAAGAAGGGGTAAATGTTCACGGTAAATGGTGCACCATTCTTGTTGAGAAATTGCACTATCTGAGTCATGAGACCACTGATATCAGGCCTGAATATTCCTGCAGATGGAACAGGATTGTCCTCTGGAGATTGATAAACATCAGCATTTAAGGGCACTGTAACCTTTACTGAATCTCCAAGACCAGCTTCATTAAGGGCATTTTGAATGTTCTGTACTGCAGGTAGGGTGATATTCAAGAATGAATTGTTGTAGGATTTCAAAAATGGTTCATTCCCAACGGCTACAAACCTGCGAAAGAATATAGATAGAATGCATAAAATATATATTAAAATTGGTCAAAAGGAAAATCAATACAGTTAGGAAGGACAAGAAATATAAATTTAAATGCAATTTTCTATTTCAAGAATCAAAATTGACAAAAATGTTATCTAGCCATGGAAATATTAATGCTTCCTACTAAAGGTGGCAATAATATATTAGTTAAGAGTTTCTTAGCAACACCATATTTGAGAGTTTGACCAATTCAATGACAAAAACAGACTCTACCAATGTCACAACTTATGTAATAGCCGAGAGCCCAAACCTAACATAGTTCCAAATTATTCACCAAAATATTTTACAAGTTTGCTTAACATTGAGAAAAATTAGCATTTCAATAGAAGTTGATACAAATTATAACATTAAGAAAATGTTGGATCTCCATCCAATATAGCTTAAGATGTGGTGTTTAATAATAATAAGCAGTCTTTCCATCTAATTGTTCAAGAAATTCCACGAAACTTTGAAAAGACATCATCTTTATGGTCAATAAATTCCCTACAAGCACAAATCAAGCTTCTAACTCCTTTGAACTTATTCAAACTTCAAATTAACCAATACAGAAGGTAAAAACTGTAGAACTGCAAGGAACAGAATCAACAAGCATAACTACAAGTTCTATTTTTTTCGATTTGTTCTCCCTTCTTGGTACAGTCTTACCAGTAGTCTTAACTTTTAGTCGTTCCTTAATATTGCCCCCAAAGATATATGCTTTTTTACAGAGAAATATTCCCTTCCCAGAAAATGATATATGCACATTCAAAATCCCTCACCACAATCCCGGATTGCTAGGAAAGATCACCACCAAAAATAAAAGTAAGGAGTTAGAATGGGTGGCAAAAAAGGGTACAAGTCATGCTATGTGAGGAATACGGTACATGCATATATCATTTCTCTTCTCTTCTCCCAAATATTACTCAGCAATCACCTCCTAAAATGGCAAAATGATTCTTAAAACAAATATCCTTCCCCTCAACCACATAAAAAGTTACACGGCATCAATGAGGCACCACTCCCAAAAATAGAATCTAATTCCATATAGCTCCCACGAGAAAAGAGACAACTTTTGGGGTTCACTTTTGATAGATTCGTTTTCACACTTTTCCTTGTCTGGTCCCTAAACTCATTAGCAAATAAAATACATTATTATTATTACTATTATCATGCAGAGTGGGATTACTGCCCCTAGTAACAAATTCGATTCTTCAAGAAATCCAATACAAATAATAAAGGACTTGGCATCAAATGCAATAGTTCAAAATTCTAAACTAAACTAACAAGTAAGAAACTTATCTGATACCAAATAACCTCTAAAGTTTATACAAAAAATATGAAGAAAGAAAAGGGGCCAAGGGGGTCACTTTCACATGATAGATTTAGAACAATAACAACAACTCAAGCCAGTTAACTGATATTGAAAAATTTGCAATACTCACTTGATATTAACTCCTCCATTGAAGTTATAACGAGTGACATTCTTCCTAACCCACTGTTTGGCACGACCATAGTCATTCATGTCAGCAAGCTGGTTATTAGGGATAGCAACCATTACTTCTAACCCAGTGCCAGCCAAAGCACTCATGGTGGACTCATCTGCATCAAAAAGCTTCACCTTTTTAATCCCATTGTTCTTCAACATCTGAACCACCGTATCTGTAGGCAACTTGTGTGTTGCTTGGGTTCCCCAATTCACACCAAGCCCTTCCACACACCAACCCATCACCCCAACAATCAACATCCATGTCAAAATCCAACCTTTCCCCATTGCAAGATCAACAGACACTCTTTATCAGAAAAAGAAAAAAAAAATTTAAGATTTTTCCCGGAAAAGCAAAAGGAAACACACACAAGAAGGAATATCAATAGATGGGGGAGAAAATAAAAGCTAAAACATAAATGAAAACTCACTCCTCTTCCTATAAAGAGAGGGGGGGCAAGAGAAAGCAACCGTTTTTTAAAGTGGGGTTCGAAGAATCAGCGAAAATTTAGCAACACTTTTTCACCCCCCACGAACCCACGATGAATGAGACGAGATGGTGATTTAACAATATCTGTAAACAAAAATTAAATAAATTAAATAAAAATCCTTTTTTTTTTTTTCTCTTCCTTGACCTCTTATTGGTTTGTTTCTGTTATGGAGAAACAGAGAGGCCAGGAAGTGTGATATCCTAAAACCAGATGTACAAGAACCAAGGTTTTTTTTTTTCTGTTTTCTTCTTGTGGAGAACAGAGTAGAAGAAGAAATTGTGTAACTTGTGAAAGGGAAAGTGAGAGGAACAGAAGAAAGGTGAAAAGGACAAAATAAATTCAATTTTAAAGCGTTTTTAAGATACACATAACGGCTATCTTAAAACTTCAATTGAAAACGCGAAATAAAAAAAGAGAAAATGAAGCAGAGAATGAAAAATTGGAAATAATACGAGTAAAGAAGAAGGAGCTGAAGTTTGAGAGAGAAAGGTATTATAATAAAATAAAAAATTACAAAAAAATAAAAAAGAGAAAGAAGTTTCTGGATTCGGTGAGAGAAAAAGGAAACCTTTTGGTTGAAGGAAGGACCAAAGGTTTAAAGGAGATTGTGAAAGGGTTGAAGGTGATGACAGAAATCTATTTATTTTTTTAAAATATTTTCATACGTATTAAATAGTATATTTCTTATGTTTCAAGAAATACAAGAGAAAAATATTTTTACAATTTATTTTTGTTTACACTTATATCTTAATCGTTGATTTTTGTTAATTAATAATTATTATTTTTGAAAATCAAATTTATTAATTAATTATTAATTTTCAATAAATAAAAATTATTGATCGGAGAAAATTAAAGGTTAAGATATGATTGTAAGAAATTGTAAACAAAAATAGATTGTAAGAATATATTTTTTTAAAAAAATAATATATTTCTTTTTTGATAAAACGTTAAACAATAATTTAAGTGATTGAGAAATAACGTGATGAGAAGCCATTAGGTTTTGTATAATTGTGAAAAATTTGAGTAGGTTGTATTAAGTTGTGTGTTCGATTTTTATTTATATATAAAAAAAAAAAACGTGATTAGCTGTGCTTATTTAAGAATGTTTCTAATTTTTTGAACTGGAAGTTGCCTTTAGATAGATAAAGAGACAAACTAGCCTTAGTTGGACTGTGTGACGGTTTTTCTATGTAATTTTAAATACATTAGGTTTAATGATAGATTAATTTATGGGTTCGCTTTTTCTGCAATTATTGCAGATAAGTGATTGCAGTAAGTCTAATACGATGTCGTTTTGGAACAGAAATCATGGTGTTTTTGTAATTTGAATTTATTTTAGCGATATAATAGTCTTTATACTTATACATTTTTAAGATTTTAATACCAAAACGACGTCGTTTTGGAAATAAATGCAGAGAACTTATCTGCTGCAGAAACATTTTCCTCTTAATTTATATAAAAAAAAAATGAGATTAGAACTTTTTATGAGTTGATTTGAAGTATGATTTTAAGCAAGAGCTATATATTGTGAAATGCATCATGAAATATTATTTGTAACGGTTATAAGTTAAAATGGAATATTATTTTACAAAACGCATATGGGTACGAGGTACGATGATACTGAAGTTGAAAAGAAAACTCAAGGTGATTCAGTTTTAAATTACTGTATTATGTTATGTTCTAAGTTCTAACTGAACCTTTTGTAGGGGTTATGTTCTAAGTGACCAACTTGAAAATATTTTCACTAGAAAAAAAACAACTGACTTGAAATTATAGTAAAATTTGTCGAAGTACAAACAGGACGTTGTAAGATTCGATTTAAGATTTGATTTTTGATTGTGAGATTGTGTCGTGTGAAATGTTGATGCAACCTGCCTGTTTATGACTCCTTACGCGGTTTGGTGTCAGCACACGTACTTTTGATACGCGTTCGTCCATAACACGATAAAACATTCTCGTTACGCACAGTGTCGTACGATTTTATATTATATTATTTTTTTCTCATCCCCAATGAGGGAACGGATATTTTTATTACAAATTTTTTTTTATCATTCTTACCATCAATTTAATTACTATTAATTTTTATTGATTTAATAATTATAATTTATTAAAAATTAATAAATTTATTGAATCATATTTATTAATTTCTAATAAATTATAACTGTTAAATTAACAAAAATTAAATTGATTATAAAAATAATAAACTCTTTTTGATAATAAGTATATCCGTTCCTATATTTTCATACCAAAATTTATATCTAGCTTAACAAATACAAGTTTAATAAACAGCTTAGAGTTATGCAAATGCTTGTACGTAGTAAACTTTTAAGCTAATGCTGGTTTTATTAAAATCTTGCATAATTTATCTTTTTATTGCCCATTATGTTGAATTTCCATAAGAATTATATTAATACCTATAAAATTAATCAATTGACGGTGTTATGATGGTAAAAACCATTTTTAAAATGTTTATAATTGTAAAGATTGATTTATAAAACTATAAGTATTAAATTAAAAATAAATGAATAATTTGGAGATTAAATTTCAATTCAAAATACTTTTAAAGTTAAAAATATAGCTATAAATTTGACACTCTGCCACTGTTATTAGGTTATACTTTGCGCGCAGAAAGCGGTGGAGAGAGAAAAGTGAATCATTTTGTACACACGTCCCCAATATTGGTCTGCACAATTTTACAACTACAAACGCATGTGTTTCACGTGTTTTTGTCTAATTGTCGGTCAAAAAAATAACGTTTTTTTTTTCGTAAAAAATTAAACTAAAAATTACAATTTTACCTTTTCCGGATTCAGTTTTTTTATTTAAATATTTTCTTAAAATGAAATTATACTTGCAACTAGGTGTGAAAGTGGACTGGGCTGGGCCAAGCTTTGTTCCGAAAAGTCTAAGCCTACGTTAAAAAATTTCAATTTGGCCTGGCCCAAGCCTAGTATGAGTCTAACTGTTAGCCTGACTTGGCCCGTTTATAAAAAAATAAATGGTCTGGTTTGACCCGTTAGCCTGTTAATTTTTAACTTCCTTGCAGAACCATGAATCAACTTTACAAAGTACTCAAATTCTGTTGCTACACCAAAAATTATAATTTCAACGTCCAAACAGAATCATGAATCATAACAAAACTCATACAATATGTATTTAATTCATTTTCAAAAACAAAATGCTCAAACTAAATAATATATATTTCATCAGATCCAACAAACAAATCCATACTATGTAAATTAAAATAACTACATGAATTTAACAAACACATCATGATGCTTGTAGTAAGTATAACATTTCCCTAAAATCATTTAATATATTCATATACACAATCAAACATGTTGAGATGTTGATTCCTCCTATATAAGAAATAAAGTAAGATTTCTATTAAACTATAATCGAATATAATTAAGTTATAAATAATTGCAATTGATTAAATTTATATCTTTTGTTTTTTCTTCAAGGCATAATTATTCTATTTTATTTTATTTACAATAAATAGTATAATATAGGCCGGCCTGTAGGCTTATAGGCCCGACCTTTTGAAAGTGGACCTACGACCTTTTTATTATACAGGCTTTTCTATGGCCCAAGTCCGACCTATTATACAAATTATACTAGGTCAAGTATGGCCTGATATAGGCCGAGCCGTGGGCTCCTGTAGGCCGGCCCAGTTTCACCCCTACTTGCAACTTATATTCATTATAACCTCTTACAATCATATTATAACCGTTGATTTTCGTCAATTAACGATTATTCTTTTTCCAAATCAAGCTCATTAAATAATTATTAATCATAATAAATGATAACATTGATTGATGGAAATCAACAGTTAAGATATGAATGTAAGAGTTTATAAACAAAAATAAGTTGTAAGTATAATCTTTTCCTTTTTTAAAACTAATTATATTTTTTTAAAATAAAATATCATGCCACATTTTTTGGGCATAATATCCTATCCCATTTTAAAAATTATAAATTTGATCAAAAAGAAGATAAATATACATATATATATATATATATATATATATATATATAGAAATTTCATCATAAATTTACCAAATGAACTTGATTTATATGTATTCTCATTATAAAAAAAATTTATTGTTATTTTTTATCCCAAAAAAATAATTTTTAATAATATATTATTACATTATTTAATGGATTTTACAACATATGAGCTATTAAAATTATTAAATAATATAACAGTACATCATTTAATGACAATATAAAACTTTTTATTTACCCTAGCATCAAAATTAAACTTTTAAAACATTAATTCCCCTTATTTTAATTATAACTTAATTTAAACGTATGTATTAAATGCCATGACATAATATTTTTCTGATTTTAATATTCTTAAAAATATAATGTAATGCAATGGCATTAAAGAATAATATTTTTACATTTAGATGTTGCCAATTTAATATTTTTAAAATTTTATAATTTGTTTATGATCAAAGCCAACTTTTATTAATATTTGTCAATATTATTTTATATACTCTACATTTTCTTAAAACTATATGCTATGAAATACATATACAACTTTAACAAATGCAGGGGTTCATAATTATTTGTGTATAATTCACTAGTTTTACATAAATATTCTTTTTTTTTATTTCCCAATGTATCTTCTGGCCAACAGTCGAAAATTAATTCTTTCGAGCAGGAGATCATATTAAGTGGATAAATATCTTCGGATAAAATCTTTTTCATACACATAGTCAGGGATCCATTAATGCAGAAAATTAGAGTATAGGGAAGTACTTAAAAGAAGATAAAGAAAGAAATAAAAACCTGAACTGAACCTAACCCTAATGTCAGATTTTTAAAATGAATAACTTAAAACAGTGAATCCGTTTGTGGATAAAGCTGGCTACTTTTATAATCTTGATATGTATCTCTTTCCGTTGTTATGGAAAATTGCCTTGGTTGGCTTATTGATTTGAACCACCCTTATCTTCTTTTTGTGATATAGATATGCAAGAAGACTCCCCTACATGTTCTTAACAAATAAAACTGATGAAAACTGCATCTTTTTTATGAAAACTATAATTAATTAAGAAGGGCATGTAATGGAATCCAAGTCATGGTTACCTTAGCTCCACTTGAGCTTCACCAACTCATAAAAGTTCAGATCTCATTTCTTAACAGGTCGCAAAAAAAGTGGAACGACACTTACTTATGTATGCTTTTTAAAAATCAAAGATGTCATGAGTTATGACACACTCTTTCTTACAGGCTTTTGATGCAAATTTTAATTCAGTATATCTTTTTGGTTCAAAATTTAATTTATTATTAAAATACCATAGTGATTTGGTGATAAAAATATTTCATAATTCGATATTCAA